CCATTAGCGTTGCCGCGTTGCTTCAAACATTTTTCATTTAGGGACATGCATTTGGTCAAATTGCAGTGAATTAGGAGGTACTTAAACTGAATACGTTACTTGAAGCTTTACTGTTGCTATACCACAATTTGTTGTAGGTTTATCTACTGTATTGTGATTGTAGCCAATGTTTTGCCCATGTAATTGAACAAAATAAGTTTAAAAGTGATTCTAAACAACTCTATTTGAATCATTAGGATATTAGGAATGTGTTTGTGAGGATTAACTTTGGACCACTGCGAACCGTTTAAAATGAACTAGTTTTGTTTCAACATGACAAATTGTGCATCCACAGCAGTCGACACTAAGCTTTAATACATAGTATCGTGTACCTTTAATAACCACAAATAATAATATAATAATAAGATGCTTACAATACAAACATATTAATATCTCTTCTGGAGGCTCATCCGTGACAATAAAAGAGTTGACATTCACTCGCGCATAATGAATTACCGCTCGTCGTGTTCGTACTCTAACCAAAGCGATCAGAGTGACGAGGCGTGTGCTCGGCTGACACGGGCCCTTTGCTCGACGGAGGCAGATGAAAGGGCCCTGACAGTTGTGTAGAAATGGCCGCGGGGAAGACACTGCCGTCAGACGTGAGGTGCTGACTCTTGTTGTTGTCGTCACTGCTGTTTGTGTTTTTTTAGGTTTTGGACTGTTTAGAGAGCACAGGAGGAGATACAGCTGATGTGATGTGATGTGAGCGCACAGTGGGTGGATCAGGGACACCAAGAGAGTGCTAACAGTATTTGTATCACCAGAGTAGGCCAGTCAGAAGAGAAGTACTACACATGAAATTAGAATTCATGTATTTTTGAAGATATATTTTAATACAGTCTCCTTGTTTGTAATGAAGCATATAAGAGAAGTGAGAAGTACTTGTGCAAAACTTGCAACTTTTTTGGTGCGTAGTGCATCTTTTCTGGATAAACATTTGCATTGCTTTGCCTAGAATGTTCCACATTATGACATAAACTTCATGGAGACATCAGGTGACAGGTCAGATCCGGGGAGTAGTGTCCCCACTCACAGTAAGAATGTTTTTAAGGTATTACATTAGCATTAAGATAGCTGTAAACCATGCAAGATGGAACAGTTTAGTCAGTTTAGTAAGCAGTAACTCCATGGAGGAGCAGGTGGCAGATGACCTACCAGAAAAGTCTTTAATTGTCACAAAATTGTGTTACCATCAGTGGCTGTCTTTAACCCCTTTAATCACTATAAAACTCAACTTTTGAATCTACAAGTAAATTCTTTTTTTTTGCTTATTCTTATTCCACATTTTTTAACACTGATGGCCATTACAATTATTACCAAGAAGCCTTGTATAATCTTGTATGTTTTATGCTAGGCAGTAATCATATGTTAAAGTGTTTTAGTGCTGGTGATCCTTCACAAAAATCCTGCTTTTGGAGCTGAACTATTGTTATTGTTGGAAAAGCCCTGTTTCCCTCTCTCGTGGGGGTCTGCTTCTTTATGTTGTAGCACTAACATTAGCAGCGGAAAATGGATGTGGCTCTAACAGCGTCTGACTAACAGCAGGACTTCCATCTTTTTACTGGCCCGCACACCCACAAAGCCTCAAAACGCATCCGGAATAAAGTTTCAGATAAATAAAGCCACTACGTACACTATTTCATTCATCAGTGCACCCAGAGGCACGCGCTTGCACACCAGGCATCCTAAGAGCAGCATTAGCATCTCTCCATGTTGTCCTTCTCTTTGCACCTGAGGGAGAGGAGCTGCAGACCAGAGTACAGTGTCTATAAAAGACTCCCCTGGGTCTGTAGGATCCGCCTGATTTGAAAAGGTTTAATGGAGTTGAACTAAGGGCAGAAGAGTTGGCCAGGATGCAAAGTAGTACTACAGAGGAGAAATGCTCTCTGAAAGACTTTGTATCTGCATTATAACATTGTAAATATATTCAAAGTACTGCTTATGCAAAAGTGACATAGGAGTTATGTTGTGTTCTAATGGTGGTGCTGTGTTTTGTGTGTGTTTGAATAGTCCTGGATTTTCCAACTTGTGTCACTGTCAGTGCTTAGACAATATAAAGTGGATTACTTTATTATTTAGTTCTTATTTTACTGCATTTTTGTAATTTACAATTTCATGAAAATAATTGAAAGTAATTGAAATGGACAAATCAGATTTTATTTGTAGTATGATATAATGCATTATGTATTCTCTATTGTAATTTGATTAAAGTGTACCCTGATAAAAGATTTTGGTTTATAGAAGTGCAAAACATTATTATATTTACTGCTCATTTGCTGAAAATAACTTTTTTTCCTTCTGGGTGTTGCATTTTTTCAAAATGAATCAAAATCCAAAGAGTAATAATGTTGCTTACTGTATGATCATTAGTGCAGTTTCTTTGCTTTTGCCTTTCACGGCCTCTCCTCTTCACCACCTCTCATGCGTTCACACATGAGCAGTTTGAATGACAGTGACATTTATGGTTCTTGTTCATGCAGCAGAGCATGCCTGTCCCCCAGGTTATCCCTGCACTCCAGAGATATCCTGCTGAGCCTCGCCCACTCGCAAGGCCAAATATGCAGCTTCAAATCAATATGGCTATTTGATGTCACCACAGGCACACGGCATATTCAACACCACTGGTCCACTGTAAGCCAACTGTTTTCGTCTCCTGCCTTCTCTTTGTGCACTCTATGAGAGCCATGCTATGAAAATTAGCAAAGTGAGAGTGACGTAACCTTAAGTCCCCACACAACGGCAAACCAGGGGACCCAAGTGACATGCTTTTTCTTTAAATGTCAGTCTTTCCGCCTCCTTATTTTGCGTTTTCTGTGGAATCTTGCAGGCTGGTCATGTGACCCAATTGTATAGATCCACTGGCCTCTTTGCCCCAGGAGGGAGATTTTTTATTTTTTTTACTGTCTAATGGTTTCCTCTGCCAATATTACTACCAATATTGCTTCAGACTTCAGACCACCACCTTTCCTTTTTTCCTCAACATAACCAGCAAACAAAGCCATTATCATTTTATGAATTGTGTTATGGAACTGGAAATGCATTCCTACCTTGAGATTGGTATCGAAGGATTTATTCATACTACTGCTCTTATCCTATACTGCTTAGCAATCAGTTTTTTTTGGGTTTTTTTTTTATATAATAATTAGTGCTGTCATGCGATTAAAAAAATTTAGAGATTAATTAATTATGATCTGTAATAAATTAATCTAATTAATCTCATTTTAATCTCACCTAAAAATTGCTGAGAAAAGCCTTCAATTTGAGGTATTTTCATTTAAATTCATTATTACATTATTGTGGCAGATCAAAAGACTGATATAGAACAAAAAAAGTGACTTTATAAAGTAATTTATTGTTTAACAAATCTCTTGAAATTGGCTGTTAAGCCCAAGTCTCCATGAATAAGAAACTGTTTGCTGTAAAGTAGCAAAGACGAGGAAATCTGAACATAATAACTTTTGTCTACTTAAAGACAATAAAAAGTCCAGTCTTTCCGTAACCATATTAAAAATATTATTGATAGAGAAATGCTTTATTTATATATATATATATATATATGTATATATAAAAACACTGGTTTTAGTTCTGGTTTAGTCCTGGTTTTAGTCCTGGTGTTAGTCCTGTTTTAGTCCTGGTTTTAGTTCTGGTTTTAGTTCTGGTTTTAGTTCTGGTTTTAGTCCTGGTTTAGTCCTGGTTTAGTCCTGGTTTAGTCCTGGACTGGGTTAGTCCCGGTTTTAGTCTTGGTGTTAGTTCTGGTTTAGAGGCGCACAGGAGGAAGCGCGGTTTACGCAACATACGCGAGAAAACGTATGCGGCGCACAGGAGCACGTCGGTGTAAGCGCAGTGTCTACGGAAGGAAACGTGGTCCGCGCGTTGATGAAGGTGTGTGTTTGCTTGTGTGTGTTTGTGTTTGCGTGTGTTTGTGTGCGTGTCCCCTCATGTGGCAGGTCACTATAGGACAGTAGTGCAGACATCATGAGCCTTTGCAGGTTGTTTTCACCAGTAACATTTAAGTTGTAGGCGATTTATATTTGTTATTTTCTTTTATATTTCACGTCGGGAGAAGAATTTCCAAGACATGAATGTGTTTTTACCTGTGCGCTGCTGCCTCTGTTCTACTGGCTCTTCGACCTCGTCCATTGTGTGACTGACGCGCCAACGTTAACATGACGTTTACATCGCTCTTACTGCGCGCGTTTTGTGTGGGTTTCCGGCAATGAGTGGAATTACCGAAATAAAAAAATATATAAATGTGTTTTTTTGTGTGTGTGTTGTTGTCCCAACAACACATAAAAACTGGTTTTATAATAAAGCAATTCGCATACAGAAACAGTAAAGTTAGAGATTAAAAATGAGATTAACGCGATTAAAAAACATAACGCGCTAAATATGACTGTAATTAATTAATCGCAATTAACGCGATAATTTGACACCCCTAATAATAATATATAATCATTTTAATTATTTTCTCTATTCTGAAGCATTTAAAATAAGCATATTTTTAAATCACTAACTAATACTAACTAATTTGAACATACTTTTAAAGATTGAAAATCTCGGTTGGGCATTGCAGTAGTCTGCTTTGTTTGATAAAGGCTATATAATTGAGCAATAATGCCGTCTCTTGTGTTTATTCCTCGTGTGATCACAGAGGAGCATACAGTCTGTTCTGCAAAAGTTGGGTGAAATGTGCCACATTAGTTGCTGCATTGAGCACATGCACGTGCCTCGTGCATCACTGCTTTTTGAGTAGCGTGACGACCTCCTCTTATAAAGACACGTCCTGTGCACAGGACAACACATCACTTATTGTATCATATAACATAATAAAATGCATTGTAGACCATTTGAGAAAAGTGGCTGAGTAAAGTATTTATTACATTTTGGTTTTTTGACAGTATATATTGAGTAAAAATTCCTGTTTGGTGTATATTGATGTATTTGTGCTTGTTTTACAGCCACTCCCACTCTCCTGGCTCCATGGCAGCGGCGGTGCGAGGAAGTGAGTGGTCATGTGGACGTTGCACCTTCCTTAACGCGGGCGCAGCCCCCCGCTGCTCCATCTGTGAAGCCCCGCGCCAAAAACCCGACCTGAACCAGATCCTCAGGCTGAGCAGCAGTGAGGAGCACCGCTGGGCCTGTCCCCGCTGTACCCTCAACAACCCCCAGGGCTCTGGAGCCTGCTCCGTGTGTGGCTTCGGACAGTCTGCTGCCACCCACACTCCCCCCACCACCACCATCGCTGCCACTGCCAACGGCCTTCCATCGGCCCCCTCAGAATCACCCACCCCCACTGTCACCCCTTCAGTTCTACTGGAGCCTCACGGACAGCACCCAGCCAAAGAGGAGGTGCTGCGGCGCTCCGAGAGTAATGGAGAGGTGGTGCGTCTGGAGGCCCAGCACTCGGGATGGGCCTGTCCTCGCTGCACTCTTCACAACACCCCCGTGGCCCTGTCCTGTTCAGCCTGTGGGGGTCCCAGAAAACTGTCCTTACCCAAAATCCCCCCAGAGGCTCTGGTAGTGCCTGAGGTGCGGACTCCTGTGCTGGGTTTCCCAGCCCACAGTGCAGGGGCTCCTCCGCTGCTCATAGACCTCACCGATGACTCTCCCCCCGCCCCGCCCTGTGATACTCAGGAGCCCCCACATGCAGCATCCCAGCCTTCTTTTTCCTCTTTTTCATCCTTACAGAACAACCCTGTGCCACGCAGTCGGAGGGAGGTGCCCCCTCCTGGGCGCCCCCCAAACCCCGGCACCAACACGCCCAGTCCCACCTCCCCCTCCACGGCCATCGTCCCCCCACAGCCAGGGCCTCAACGGCCAGCCAAGCCCAAGCACGCCCAGCCCCAGGAGCCTGTGTACCCCAGCAAACGCCTAAGTATTTTAGAGGAAGAGGACCACCCACTGCCCCCCCACCTTCCTTCCTCATCCTCCTCCACCTGGAAGTGCCCTAACTGCTCTGTGTCCAACACAGGCAACTCCTCCAAGTGTGAGTCGTGCAGATCGTCACGGGCCGGCGCTGACCTCATCGACCTGGTGGGCTGTGAGTCTGTGCGCTTCACTCCTGCCAGCCCCTCCAGCCCAGACTTCAGCACCTGGGCCTGCTCCAAGTGTACGCTCCGCAACCCCACGGGGGCCGCCAAGTGCTCTGCCTGTGGCTCCTCCAAGCTCCATGGCTTTGTGGAGCAGCAGACTCCCCTGTCCCGCTGCTGCCCGGCCTGTGGCCACTCCGCTGGCTCTGCCTCTGCATCGTGCTCGTGCACAGCATCTTCCTCCTCCTCTTCATCCTCGGGACACAAGACACGCAAACAGGGGCGAGGCTTCCCCTCCTCCAGCTCCGCCTCCTCCAGCCTTCAGGAGAAGGGTGGGCAGTGGGGCTGTCCCGCATGTACTCTGCTCAATGACAACAAGGCCAAAAACTGTGTCGCGTGCCACACGCCCCAGCAGTACCTCACCATGCGCAAGGTGCTAAAACCTCTGAAGAGGAGGGAGAGCATGCATGTTGAGGCCCGCCGCCGCAACGATGAGGGCGAAGCCAAGGAGCTGTGGGAGAATATTGTCAGCTTCTGCAGAGAGGTGAGTAACACACTGACAATGCACACATTATAACTTCAACCAACATGCAGAGGTTTGAAAAGAGAGTAATGAAGAGTTGTATTAGTAACAAAATGGCAGTTATACTTAATGTGTTATTAGTTTTTTGTTTTAAGAAATGGTTTTATTTTATTTGTGTCTCTGAGGATTAAAATGGAGAACTTCAGTGTAATTGGCTTCTGGTACCTTTTGTAATATTCTAAGCCTGCTTATTACTTATTAAAAACTATAATTGCATATTTTGAACCACAATTCAATAGAAGTGGCCATACAGCACTTCACATATTGTGGGACCTAATTGTGTCGTTGCAATCAGGGTCTTTCTGTATGTTGCCATAACAACATAATCACATTCAAAGATCAGAGGGCTTTAAGGTCATCCGCGTGTCATCGGGGAGGACTCACTGGGGTGATTCATCCTCTCAGCCATGTATAAACACACAGGTGCTCATCTCCAACTCTGTGCTCTGATAGAAGTTCTTCATGGTCAGTCAGTGTGGGCACGGCTGGACTTTGTGTGCCTGTGACCGTCTTGTTACAGCTCTCCAGCACCTCTCATGCTATGTTTACAATAGCATGAAGTGAGCTTTCCATGCATTATTAATGGCTTCTTTGAGAGTCACAGAGCTCACTATTGGGTGCGTGGGAGGTACAGATATCAAAGATCTCTCTCACCTCTCACAGTGTCTTCCTAAACTTAACATTGAAATTAAAGCTTGAAACGTTAGACCTCATTCTCAGTTCTCCTCTTCAAAGTTCACTTACTTTCATCTGTTCCCCTCTGAGTATGATCTCTTTTTGTACTTGTCTCCCTGTACCGTGCCCGTGCTCTGCTCATGTGAGCCATTGAAACTAAGGTGAACATAGGACTGAGCTATTTTTAGCAGCAGAGGCAGGAGTGGAGGGATGATTTGCTTCCCTATGGCGCCCGTAATCAGGAAGTGCATCATCTGTGGCCATGAGCTCTTAGGGGTCAGGGACACTAAGGGCAGAGCAAAATGCAAACTGGATTCTTTCTAATATGGTCAAAGCAGTGTATGGTGGTTAAACTCAAGGAATCTGATAGTAAATTGTTAGATGAAACTACTCATATAAACCAATTTGTGGGCAGTTTGCAATCTGATTTACTATAGGAAAGGCACGTATATTATTTTTGCTGCAAAACTGCTATGTAAAGTGTAAGTGTTTCTGCTGCTGCTTCTGCTCGTATCACTGAATGCCTATTACAGTTAGTGTAGCCTACAGCCCCATGTCACAAGCTCTACACAGCCTGAAGGACATGGAGACTGTCGTTAAACCAACTATCATTTCAGATATAACAGGTTTAAAGAGTGCTGATTGTGATTGTATTGAGACAGAAAAACCTCTCCCCTCCCTTGACTCGCGTCCTGAATTAAAACTGTTTAAAATGGGGTTATTAATAGTGTTATTTTTATTTTCTTACACTTATGAGAAATGGCAGTTCATTCCAGACCATGTACTGCTGTAGTCTGGACTAATTGAACCTATAAATGCTGATCTATTTTAATGTTAAAGAAAAGCTTTAATTTGTGTTTATTTTGAAAGACAAATCCATAATCAAATCCATATTTATATTAATCTATAATCTGCTGATTTGAAATTGGTATTTGCTGATGAAAACCTATTGGCGTTTAGATTGGAGTGAATATTACTGGCGTGATTTTTAGCCCAGAGCACTCGGTGTAAGAAATCTTCCCTTTTTCACCTGAATGCACAGTGTTTTCTCATGGCTCCACGTTTCATCTCACTCTGATTGGTGTAGGAGCAGAGGATATAGCCTGGTGCCTTCTCCTTTAACCATGTCTACGTACTCTCACTCCAACATGTTTTTTTTCTTTTTGTAACATGTTTGGAAGAACAGCTAAAATTTTACAATTTTGAACTGTGTTTTAATGTTTGAAATGTAGCTCCTATTTAATTCCTCTGGCTTGTTTAGCATGTTTAATTGTAGCACATGGTGAATGGCAGCCTGCTCTGGATGCCTTTGTTGCAGGTCTAATAAGTGTGGCGCTGTTAGTGCCAGCTCAATACGTCCTTGTTAGCAGACTTTTAGGAGATCAATAGTTAGCCCGTAGCATGTGGTTATCCAAATACACTGGCTAGCATCTTTGAAAAGGGCCTTGTATGGCTGCCAGTGGTGTGTACTGTTGGAGAGCAGAAGGTTTTCTTACTTGAATTGGCTGAGTGAAGCTGGAGTTTGTTTGTTGGCGAGGCTCCAGAGAAAGCAACAGTGATGAGGTTTACCCAAGTGGACTTACTGTAGCACATCACAACAACACTGCTACATCCTGACACCATGTGCAAATTCTTCAAGCACAAGTAATATATTTTTACCTCCGCCAAGGAGGTTATGTTTTTGCCGGCGTTTGTCTGTTTGTTTGTTTGTTTGTTTGTCTGTTAGCAACATAACTCAAAAAGTTATGGACCGATTTTGATGAAATTTTCAAGATTTGTTGGAAATGTGAAAAGGAAGAACTGATTTCATTTTGGGGGTGATCCAGAAGAAATCCTGGATTCTGGATCACTTTGAAATTTTAGTTAACATTGTGGTAAATGGGGCCAAAAATTTTGTTTCTCAATATCTCGGTTAAATTATTGACCAAACCCTATGAAATTTGACTCAGGAATGGACAATGGGATCCTCTTTCATATTCCAAAGGCTGATCCAGAAGACTGATTTTATCGCAATTTATATAAAAAATGGGGGTAGTCCTTGGCGGAGGTCTGCGCTCTCTGAGTGCTTTTCTAGTTGATAAATGATATCAAAAATTCAAAGCGCCATCCAAGCTACAGCTCTCTGTTCTCACTTTGAACAAGATAAATGTAATGCAATTAAATAAAACTACTTTCAGTTTTTGAGGTGGAAATCGACTGCATTATATCGTCAACTATAACCAAAACATTTAATTGTTATTGGCTTATTGGGATGTCTGTGTTAATGTATGAGACACAACGTAGTAGATACTAATTGCACAGTCAACTATAAACGTGAGTGTAAATCTTCACATATTTCACAAATGGGGCCTTGATGAAGCTTTAACATCTTGAAGTATTCATAATTAGTACAAAATGTTCCTCATTATTGGAAATAAATTGGGCATAATTCTTCATGGGTTTGTTAGTAATTTTCTTTTTGTATTGTATACATTGCACATACTTATTCACACATCTGTTTAAAAATGTGTTTTATGTGACAACACTGACATTTCAGCAGGTATTGAGCTACACAAAAAGGGAACAATGAAAAAGAAATGAGTTACAATTTATGTAGTGTTATTGCAACAGGCCACTTGAAATGACTTAGAAAAGCAACCAGTCGTGTAGTGTTGTCTTTTGGGAGAAATTGTGTTGACGAAGCGGCTATAGTGAACATATTTTCTCTACAGAAGAGAACACTACACTACTTTTATGTGCTCTGTGCTGGCTTATTGCTTGTGGTCAGCCACTACTGAAGAGGGAATGTAAGATTTTCACTGAATCAATATTTAACATTTCATTTGGACTTTTAAGTTTGCTGACTGCTAAAAACTTTGAGAATTTTACACCTGCTTTATGACAATAATTAGCCTACCACTGAAGTTCCAGTGGCCTGCTTAGTTTGTTTCCTCATATTTGTCAACATATGAGGCTCTAGAGTTGCTCCATTCCTCTCCACATCTGTAGTAAATCCATTTAGGTACTTAAGCCCTGAATATAAGCCAGTCCATAGGTCACACTTGAGCCACTGAACTACAGGAAGCAGCTTTGAAATGATTTTGCCCCAAACTGGATTGTGGAGGATGACGTTTAATCAATTGGCCGCAGTGATATCCACGAGCAGAGCCGGCCGCATATCAAACTCTCCTCTACTCCAGGTCCCTGAAATGAGAGAACCTCACTTCTTAGTATTGATGCTCATGCCCTCGAGTGCACTTCAGTTACATCTTGATAACGCCATAGTAAATCCATTGGAGCCGTGTACACGGACCGGATGTGGTTATGGTCCAAATATATATGGCTCTGGACAAGAAAATCATAATCAACCATTATTTGAGTCGTAATTGAAAATATATTTAATATTTATTTGAAATGATTGATATTGTAACCCAACAGTTAACCTTTAGGAAGTAGCCTTATCATTCATTTACTAATGATTCATGATTTATAAGCCAGGTAAGGAAATCTTATTTGTGTTATATGTTTGTATGTATTTTTATTTTGACTGTTTTTGTAAATGATTTAAGCAATAACATCACAATTTACAATCAGAAATCTTAAGTTTGGTGTCCTTGAATCTGGCAGAGATTTGGTAGAGATCAACACCTAAATTTCTGCTTTCAAATGACATGAGTGAACATATAAGATAATATATTATCCATGAGATATAACTATAACCACCAGCAACGTCAAGACTCCACCCACTTCAGAAATCCTCCTTTGACCGAGCCCACTTCTGACACCGCTGCGGTAAGGGGATAGCTTGTGCATGTGCCGCAGAGTTTTGGATGGGCAGATAGTGTGTCCAGATTAGATGTCCGCATGCGTCTAGGACACAAATACAGTAGAGGTTGTGTTTCACAGTGCTTTCCGAATGGTTTGTTGTGTTAAATGCTTGATGCCCAGTAGGGAGTGTGCAGTGAGGGCGTACGCACTTCATGTGCTATTTGTGTTAGCGTCCCGTCTCTGGTACAGGCAGAGGCTGTGTGCTCCGGCCCCCCGCTGGATACATGTGTGAAGCCACGATAAACAGTGCAAGTCATTCCCCATGCCACATGAATAATTAGCAAGGATTTGACTGTCCTCATTTGTCCCCATAAACTAGTGGTGGGAAATAAATCGAAAAATGTTATAATATCACAAGAAACTATATTGTCTATAATTAAGACTACAAAGAGAACTTGCAGTATAGAGCAATGTCTCTGAACTTTTGTGGTTAATTTTACAATCCTCACATTTTGAGGAATACTTAAAAGCACTCATGTTACACTATCTTCTGATCGATGTTATAATGTTGTTTCCTCATCACACAAACACACCTGGAGTTGTATTTTTTCTTTCACACATGCTTAACGCACAAACCCTACATATTTAGGCTAAATTCTCTTACTCTTACAATTCATGACATCACAATGTGCAACAGAATATTTTGAGCTTTGGAAACGTAGACAGACAAATAAAAAGTGATTACTGAAACGTGTGAATGAAACAAAACACAACTCCTGGTAGCAACATTCTTACATGGCTAAAAGCTCACTAGAGTCTATTTTGTGTAATATACGTCCTTTAACCTCAATCGAGACATTTAGACCCACATTTTAGCACATTCATGAATTGCCATAAAATTGCTGAATACTATAAAGGAGATAATGCAAAAAAATTATATTCAGATATTTATTTTAGTCAAATTGCCTAAGCCTTATTCCAACTAATTTCATTCATTTACTGCATCGTAAATAACATCTCAACCTCTTCTCTCTGTCTCCGCCCCTTTCCCCCTCATCCAATCAGAACACCGTAAATTTCGTGGACGACAGCTTCCCCCCAGGCCCTCGCTCGGTGGGCTTTCCCGAAGGCGACAGCGTCCAGCAGCGGATCAAAAAATGGCTCCGCCCACACGAGATCAACTGCAGCAACTTCAAAGACCGCGGCGTCAAGTGGTCAGTGTTCAGGACGCCAAGGCCCTCCGACATCCTGCAAGGCCTGCTGGGAAACTGCTGGTGAGCACTTAAATACTCATGTTACATATAGAGGCCTCTATACAGCTTTGGCTCTTTGTTCCTGAGCAATATAGTGATCATATAATTTTGCAGTCGTGTTCAAATGGACGTGAATGTAGTTTTTTTTGCTCTACAGTGGAAAACCAACCTCAAGAGCCAGTAAATTGTTTCCATTAATTATTTTTTATGACTTCCTAATTGTGTTCTGTGTTTATCTATTATAAGTTTGCAGTGAAGTTGGTTGTAAACACCGAAGAGGGTGTAGGGGATAGGGTACACTATGCCCTATGGAGCCTCCAAAATTGCCTTATCTTTATTTGTCTAAGGCAGCAGCTCTCAAACTTTCAACACCAAATACAACTGTGCACAATATTTTGCTTTCCAAGTGCCACCAGGACTGCACCAGGTTGACAACAGAGCTAAATCATTCAAGATTCAAGAGTAGTTTATATGTCCCCAAGGAAATTTGTCTCAGATACACAGGCTGCTACACAGAAAATACACATGAGAGCTTACCTGACCAGCCAGAACCACACACTTTTAGAAAATTTGATAAATTCTAGCCATATCCTGTCTACCCGATTCCAAAGGGGTTGATTTACAGTCAAATTAACCACTCAGAGAGATGCCTTGTTTGTGTCAAAAAGAAACATAGCGGTTTATATGTAAAAAGGGGAAAAAAACTAAATAAAGGACTGAGAAACAGATTTTTATAGAATCTAATTAAAATTAAAAATTAGAATTAAAGTATCAAACTGTTATTTATCTCGGGTAAAAGAAGTTAGATATATTGTTCTGAATGTTACAAGTATTTTCAGGAGGACATGTTTTCCGCATTTGAGACGTGTGATACAAATTAACAACTGTGGCTAGATCATCAAGTTAAGATGGAGGATTTTCCCCCTCCATTACCTGATTCTGTTCCCTTCTGGATTCGATCTGAATGTAGAAGGGACTAGCTGGTCCGGCAAACAAAGAGCAGCATGACATAGACATCATACCAAAACCTGGACTAAATCATGCTTAAAATGTTAATGATTTACATGTAATTGTTTTGGCTCAGTTTTATGGTTAACATCTCTGTAATTACTGGGCATATCCAGATAAAAGAAAACCAGGTACAAACATTGTCATGTTTGCTGTCAGCATGAATAAACAAAAGGTAAAAAGGAAGTGCATCTAATCAACTCCAATGATGTGATTGTTGTCAGTAAAAAGGACTAAGCAATAAGGTTAAAGTGGCAAGTTTGCGGAGCCATTCCCTAACAGATAATAAGCTTCAACATTTGTGAATCATAAATTTGGATATTTGGATAAAACTGTGAATCTCCCATAGTTATACACACACCATAGTTTGAGAAGCAGTGATCTAGTTTCTCCTTCAAAAGCACATCAAGTTAATGGTGAGACAGAGGCACTTCAAAGAATCTGAACATCACAGAGTAAAGAGATAAAATGTGAAATGAACTCAGTGGAAAGCAGCCTTAAAGGTCCTATATTACACAAAATGGACTCTTGTGAGCTTTAAGCCATGTTATAATGTTGTTACCTCATTAGAAACATACCTGAAGTTGTGTTTTGTTTCATTCACACTGTCCACATCTAAAAAGCTCAGAATGTACTGTTCCACCTTGTGATGTCAGAATTTACCTTGTGACGAGAATTTAATCTCTAGTTTAGGAAAAAGTAGCCTGAACCACAGCCTGTCCCTTTGTCTCCTCACATGTTCACAAGTTTTGACTTAAATCTGCACAATTTAACTACACGTCCAGTCTCTCTTCCTCTGCCTCTGTGTGCGCACTGCCGTCTGAAACAACCCCCCGCTCTCCCTCCCTCGCTCTGATCCAGCCGCCTCTCCTCACCTTTTTTCGTCTTGTGCTTCTCATTTTATAAGTTATGGAAATTAAACGGTCATTTTCTCACCATTTATGATTGAAACCTCATTTAGCACATGGACATCACACATGTTTCTGCCGCTAACAGTAATGTGTGCATGCTTTGAGTTTACTATACTGTACAAACTCATTCCAACTTTTAAGTATGAATTTCTTTGGAATTATTGATTCTATCAACATAAAATAAAAACTGTAGTGACTCTGACACTCTGCCCTTTATGTCCGAAGTCCACATGTCTATGTTTTTATTATGATGGAAAAAGATCAAATCGAAAATCGAGATCAATATGGGGTAGGAATCATGATTCTTTTTTTCTCCATATCACACAGCCCTATCATGAAGTGATAGTTTTCTACCTTTTATTTTTAGTTCAGTAGAGATTGGCAGTTTCAGAGCTGAAATTATCCAACTGATTCTAGTGAAGATATATGGAGTTTAAAAACACAGTGAAGCATTTCCTGTGTTACAACATGATATCACAAGGTTGAATAAGGTGTTTTCTGTTTGAGAGTAGAACTCAGCCTAAATATGCAAGATTTGTGTGTAAAATGTGTGAATGCAACAAAACAACTCCAGGAAGGTTTTTGACAAAGAAATAACATGATAACATAGATCAGAAAATAGCGTAATAAGGGCCCTTTAAGAGAAATGAGAGTAGAGCACGGTTGCAGTTGGACAGATGTAGCGATACACCTGACTGCAGATTATTCACAGCGCTGAGTTTGTTTGGACATGCTCTTTATCTCTCTGCCCTTGTTCTGCGGCGTGTGTCCTCTGGGCACTGTCTTACTTCTCCACAAACACAACAATGAACAGTCACTCCCAAAGTTGTCCCCATACAAGTCTCACTTCATCACTCGCACATAGAGCTTATCAAAAATAACCGTCCCCCGGGCCAAATCCTCCCCGCTCCAAAACGGATGTAACCCAAATTCCTGCACACTGGCTGTTCAAACGCACCGTGGCCTCATAAACCAGCAGTCAACCCAGCAGACTGCAAAAAATCACTAGTCACCCTAATTTCTGAATCATGTTGGACACAAAGGCCAACATTATATCACATTATAACAGTGGTAATGCATTTTTGACACTGTTAGGATTAACAGCTGGGCGCATTCAGTCCAGTTGAATTTAAGTATATTGTAGTCTTATAAAAGGTATTTTACAGTGAATTTCTCCGTATCTGCTTCATATATTTGGAGCCTAGGGTGGGTTATGGCAATTACCTTACTTAGAGCTCCAACAGCAGACTTAAAGGTGTACTATGTAACTTCTGATGAGGATAGCTTTTGCCTGTTATGTTCCACAGTATCTACTCACTAGCCATGCTGGCGCCACCTAGTGCCTCCGCTCAGTTTAATTTCTCTCCAGCGATTAGGTCAGGAATCAGAATACACTAGACAGTTTGCAAGAACCCCATAAGTTGTAGACCATGCACCGGCCAGTCAGGGAGGAACTGTGAAGCCATGACTGGGTCCTTTTTGTGGTACAGCACAACAGTAAACAAAGTGGTCGAGATGGATGCAGACAAAGCCAGACATTCTGTGTTGGCAACGATTCCTGAGATCGAGGACTTAAAGCTGGAACAAAATTCACCAAATGTTTGGTGAATTTTATTAAGGGGAAAGATGTTATTGCCCTTCTTCCTATGGGATTTGGCACATTACATACGTCACAACCAAATAGCAGCGATTGGTTAATTTAAAAAAGTACCCACCTACCGTTGAGCAAACAAAATCAAATGCTGCAAGGTCAGACGGTTTCCACAAAGTGAAACCGGCTGATGAATCAGGCTAGTGAATCACAGGGTGCCTCTTGAGTTGCAATACATGCAATAATTGATATATTGGCCGTAACATATAGCATTATTTTCAAAGAGCCAAATTTATTTTAACTACAACATTTCTTTTTTTTTGCCCAAACTCAAAATTAAATACCCCCATTTTAAATATCAGAACAGTGAATATGTCAAATGTATTGCATAAACAAGCAACAAAATTATAGCTCTATCATTTAGTTTCACAACATATAGATATTTCGATATGGTACTATCCCCCTAATATCCAGGCCAAGTTACAGATCAGATCTATGGAGAGGTAACCTTGCACACAATAAGAATGTTTCCAAGTTCGAATACAATGCCAGATAGACACATGTTATGCAATACTGTGAAATATTCCAGACAAAGCTGTAACATTGGCATGGAAACAAGCAGATGAAGGACCTTTCACGAGAAAGTTACATAGTGTACCTTTAAAGCTGTGATACGTTTGGCATTTGCACTCATAACAATGCTATATAATTGCTGTTACCAATTATAAGTGAAGTCATTACTTTGTCCCTTGACTCATTTTAGCTGAAGACATTTTAATATTTTATTTTGGAATGTGATTAACTAATTAAAAAGCAAGTGAGTTTGTCCGCTGCCGGCTAAATTATCAGTAATAAGAAGCTATGCAGAAGGCACCTTATCAAACATGATTGATTTTCACTGAGCAGAAATTGCATACAGTTCCAAAGCCGTGGCTAACTGCTGTGTTGAAACGTATGTCTAATTCCTTATTTGCAGTTTGACGGGTGGTTGTCAGTAGCTGGTCTCTCTCTGATTGCTTCTGCCAGTCGGTGTTCGCTGTACCTGCTGCAATTCAACACGTCAGAATTTATTTATACTGAAGTCCACAGAGCCACACACGGTGCTCACAATCAACTCAGGCTTTAAATCACTCTGGATGTTATTGTCAACGTACAGGAAGGAGTACTGAAATGTGTACTGTTACTTCTATATGCAGGTAGTTGTTGGACTGTCTACTTTTTGACAGTATGCAAAAAAGTACAGTCTATGAAAAGGAACAATCAAAAAGCTGCAAAAACTTGATTAAAATGCACTGAATTTCTATAAAAATGGTATACAGTGATATCTCTATATTTTTGTGTTTTATTTTATAATGCCTTTGTTTGTTACACCAAAACCTCTAACGAAACATGTACAGGCACATTTATGAAAGACTGTAAAGCTATGGTTTCAAATTATAATTTTGAAGTATGGCTGTGCATGCGACACATGCACAGCCATACTTCAAAAATACAACTTCATTAGTAAAGCACTGAAGCACTAATTCCACCTCCTTCTACAACCGTTACTATTGCTACAACTATTGTTATTACTAACTACCACTACATACTACTATTGCAGCAACCGTTGATACTGACTACTACTATCCTATTTGTCTTTTTGTTTTTTGTTTTTTTTCATACATTTTTTTCTTGGTTGGACATGATTTCTCCTGTAACTTTCCCTCAACGCCCCCTGCAGGTTCCTGAGTGCACTGGCAGTGTTAGCGGAGCGTCCGGAGCTGGTGGAGAGGGTCATGATCACACGCACCATCTGTCCAGAGGGGGCCTACCAGGTGCGGCTGTGTAAGGACGGTACTTGGACCACAGTGCTGGTGGACGACATGCTGCCCTGTGACGACTACGGCTACCTCCTTTTCTCTCAGGTACTCTATCCTTCTCTCTCAGGTACTGCCCCAGAATGAATTGTTAACTGACAAGAGGAAAGTTAGAACAAGTAGTATATTTCTACAGAAAGATGGAGCTCTTCCTGAGTTTATGCTGTCTAAAATCAACTTTCAAGATCTCTCAAAGGATCAAAACAGATGCCGCCATGTTCCAAATAGGAAGTGAAAATGGTTGTCCTTCCAGCTCCTTCAGGACCCTTGACCTTGCCTTAAAAAATTAGGACTTTCTCTGTAACTGCTGCTGCAAGCCTGATCATTCTGGTCTTAAAATGTTCGTATTAACCCGTGCTACATAATCCTGGTGTTTTTAGTGTATTTTGATGTTTTGTCTGTGAATAAATTCCTATTCGTACTATGGAACTCACCTCCAAATTCACTCCTATAGCTACTAGCCTCATGAGCTTCTTTTGACTGGAGCCGAACCCTATGAGTGACAGAACGCTCCCTTATTCCACTTCTTTTATATAGTCTTTTATAAACCTTTGATATTTTTATATGAAGGTTTGATGGTAAACCAGACATTATTTTTTATAATAAATGTAAAACATATTTCACATCATTTATTCATGTTTTAATCTGTGTCTTTTTATGTTACCTCTAGGGAGCACAGATGGCAAATAGTTTTGTCGCTGGTACTTTCATCAAATATGCACTGTCCCCATCAAATAAATGCATTTTAGTAATTGCAAATCCAAGCGAAAAGTGCCACAATAATTCATTATCATTTACAGTAACTAAATGGTTGCCCTTCCTTGTAAGATAGGATCATAAACTTGAAGGTTAACCCCGCCGTCGATATCATGTATACAAATGCACTGTCTGAACACATGGACCTGTCTGTGTGAATAATGGTGCTAGTAGATAGTAGATCAGTCTATAACAACACTGTATCATTATCATATTAATCTAAACACGTGTTAATTTATTATTGCAAGCGTGTCTTCCAGGACCGCAGTACCTTGATGTGTAATTAATCAACTTGCAATCAGCTATCATGTCTTACACTGTGCAACAAGCAAAGCATAACAACCCAGACGGCTGCTCCATCATCTGTTTATCTACTAGCAATGTAGGCCATGTTCCATAAGAAAATAAAGGACAGATTTAGGTTATGTTAGTGTGGTGCTCTGGGATGGGAGAAATTAGTACGTATTGGCTTTTATTATGAATTGTGTTTTTTATCAGAAATAAATTGCATGGTTGTACAGTAAAAGGTAAACTATGGGATTACGTTGCCTAAAAACTTCAACACTATAGCATTAAACATATCTTCCCTTGCATATATTCACATACAATTCACATTCTTAATGTGAGCATGATTGCCTCTCCACAGATCTGACCTATACAACAATTCCATTCACTGTTTATTTATTTGTATCATTATATTTTTGCAGAGCTCTGTTTACTATTGTATTTTTATCTTTTCAAAAATCCACTGAAATTGTGGGACAAAATTGGAAGGGGCCCAGAATGTTTTTCATTTTCTGAGTGATAATAGTCTCAGCCTGGCTTGTCAAAACAAAATATAAAGCTCCTCGGCGTTCAGAAACAATCAGTTGTAATGATAAAATACATACTGATAATAACATCCAGTCGTGTACTCCAGAAATGGTCTTCAAAGCATTTAACTTGCATTTGACAGCCAAAAATTTTTGTCTCATTATTATATATTAATGTCAGATGGAGGTGAATGGGCAGGCATTTCTAACATGGGGAGGGCAAAAATTTATATACACACTATATTCATGGAGACCTGCCGCCTTTAAGGGGCCAAATCTGGTCCCATGTGTAAATTCCTTGTTATTAGATTATAAACATTATTTAAAATTCAGAGTAACAGAGCATTTTGAGCTTTGCAGATACAGATAGACTAATAATGCAGGATTGCTCAAACATGTGTGAATGAAACAAAACACAACTCTAGGTATGTTTATGAGGAGGTAACAACATTCTAACCTGGCTAAAGAGTCAGTTTTGCATAATATAGGACCTTTAACGCTGTGTAAATAGTGACTATGGGTACACTGAAAAAAGACAAACAAAAGAAATGTGTAAGCAAGTAAATAAATCAAATAAATTGTACGAATATTGTAGTATGTTTGTAGGTATTCTAGGCAGAGGTGTCTCATTATCTCTATGACGTGTGTCTCCGCTCCCCCAGGCCCAGAGGAAGCAGCTGTGGGTAGCTCTGATAGAGAAGGCTCTGGCCAAACTCCATGGGTCGTACTTTGCCCTGCAGGCAGGGCGGGCCATCGAGGGGCTGGCCACTCTGACTGGAGCACCCTGTGACTCCCTCATGCTCCAGGTCAGCTCCACCAACCCCCGAGAAGAGCCCATCGACACGGACCTCATCTGGGCTAAGATGCTCAGCTCCAAGGAGGCGGGGTGAGAGAGGGATACTGTTTGTGAAGTGTGGTTATTTCAGAGGGGAAAGAAAAGGGCAGTTATCATAGTGGTGTGTCTGGGATGTGTTGTTTTTTTCATAGTGTGCATAGACCTGTCACAGTAACTCATTTTGAAGCATGATACTGCTATGAAGAAATATTGCAATAAACGATAATACTGAAACTACTTTATGTCACAGACACAAACCAGGATAATCCTAGTGAACTGATTTTTAACTATACAGTATCATTCAAAGGCCTGAGCTGCAACTAATAAATAGCCAAAGGAACCAATAACAATTAGTCATAGAAGTTTGTTATACTACAATCTACAGCTCAAATCTTATTGCATTATTACATAAAAAAGACCCCACAAAATCCCCAATATTGAGCTCTATATTGACTATATTGTATTCAGTTTTCGTATATAATGATTGGAAAGAGGATATAGTATTTATCATGACACAAGTGTGCATCATGCAAGAACAATGTGTAACCTTACAATAAATCTATTTTCTAAATAGGGATTATGTCATTTTCAAGTTAACTTAAAACATGCACCATCATGTCTAAATTACTGTGAGGCTGTCAGCTGTCATTAAAGGCCCTGTAAACACATTTAAACCACTAGTCAAACTAGTTTCTTGAGTAAACTTCTGCTCATCCTCATTCTTTATTTACATTAATGTAGAGTATATGCGCATTTTTTACTTTGAGACCATCTCTTTTTTGTTGTGGATTGATGAACAATAGACCCTGACACACATTTTCAGGTTCCCAATAGATACATATTGGCTCACAATACGATGCAGGCAGCACACAGCTTTCATTTATTTTTCACAAATTGTTATTTTAGCAATATTTTCTCTGAGCCAAAAAGAATTATGCTTTTCTACAAAAGGTCCTGTAGTGATCGTTTCCAGATTCACTAGGGTCAAATGATTATTCTGAAGTTGTGATATCCATGCACCTTTAGTACCATTTATACCCACCAATATTTCTGTTTCTGAGATCAACCAGAAGCGATAAAATTAGTGTAAAATTAGCTTCAGTGTGAAAATGAATAAGAATTTGAGTTTGTGTTTACTGTGTAATCCAAGGCAGCTAATGAACATCCCTTTTGGACAAACTTCTAAGACACACACAAAAAAACAAGGTAATGGGGGCCAGCCCCCTCCATATGTCCGTAAGGAAACACTGCAGTAATAAGAACTGGAATATTCCACACTATCAAAGCACCAGAGACAGCAAGTTCCTTAGGGGGCAAATTATGTGCGCCCAAACTGCAGGTCCATCTGTCAGAAACCGCACACTCTTTAACAAATGACTGTGAGAAAAAGATGAAGCCTTGACAGCACAATGCATATTTAAACAAAGGCATTTGAATATGCGTGTGTGTCTGCTTTGTCCTTAGGTTTCTGATGGGAGCTTCGTGCGGAGGAGGCAACATGAAGGTGGACGATGTGGTCTACGAGTCCCTGGGTCTGAGGCCACGCCATGCCTACTCCATCCTGGACGTGCGTGACGTTCAGGGCTACAGGTGCCTGTCATTTTCAGTCTCTTTCAAGTGTCTGGGCTCATCAATGATTCAAGACTTGCTACAGCCCGCGTTCTGATCATCTGCCTCTCCTCCTACCTCGTATTACCTCTGTCCTCCTCCGTACATCTGCGCAAGAGCTCTCACATGAATTATAAAGACGGCATCGGCGTAAGATTGGACACGCTTTGACATTCACTAGGCAATATTATAGTGGAACATAAACGGCTTATCGGCTCTTAGGATCTAATTGCTTGTTTTGAAGTTTTATGATGAGTGAGGTCTATTAAAAGATGCACTGTGTCACTTTTCTGATGAGAGGTTTGCCACCTACTTGTCTCTAAGGAGATATTTTTGCTTTGTTTGCAATGTTACACAATACATAAATATTATTGCTAAAAAAACATGCATTCTTGCTGTGAGAGGGGTCACCACACTCCAGATGTAACACTGTAACTTGGCCTGATGTGTCATTAAACTTATCTATGTCTATGGAAATAAGCACAAGCAGATAGCAGATTATGCACCTTAAAGGTTCTATATTACACAAAATGTACTCTTGTGAGCTTGAAGTCATGTTCGAATGCAGTTGTCGCCTCAAAAACACTGCAAGCACTACCTGTACTACCGTTCTGTTTGAGAGAAGAACTAAATTTGCATTTGGTTTGTGTGTTAAACATGTGAATGAAACAAAACAGCTCCAGGTTTGTTTGTGTTGAGGAAACGGCATTATAACATAGGTCAAAAATAATGTCATTTGGGCCCTTTAATGTTACACAGTGTACAGGGTGTAAATTCATGGATTTATAAAAAGTAAGATTAGTCATTTTTTCACTAATGAATTACGTTTAATCATAGCCTAAGTGTATTCCTAGCAGACACATTTCTGTCTAGCATACAAATTGGCAACTCTTAATTCATTTAGCCATATGCTGCCTGAATTGGTCAGTAAGTAGTTCAGTTTTAATTTAAAAAAAAAGATTGTTGTAGTTATATTTCACAGCAGCCTTGAAGCATGCATCACAAAATATCCTGACTGTAGTTATTACCAAGTTGGGTTATTTCTGCTTTCTCCCCCTTTTCCCTACAAATGCGTTTCAATTTCTCTGCAGTGTAATATATAGTGGCCCTTTTCCGGAAGTCAAAACAGCTTCTAGGAAGGAAAGTGAAAAAGTGCGGACTCATTTCAAATATTGACTCTCAGCCTCGCCTCGGCCCCACATCAGATATTGAATAGACTTATACATCAAATTGGAATCTGAGTTGACATTAAAGGGGGCGGAGTCTATTGCTTATTTTGATTATGAATGCATCGTAAGTTTTCTCTGCGCGTACCTTTTAAGGACAAGCACAGCGGAGCCATAAATCCCAGGTGTAATTCGTTCAAGAGACACACAACGTAGTAGTTAAATTTATGGCCATAAGGTTGGTGTCTCCCTCACTCTCAGCCAGAGGAGATAAACCAGCTGCTGGAAGGAAGTGACGGATTCCCTCGGCCTTTCTGGAAAGAAAACTTTACAGTGTACTTCTGTTATTGCAGATTGATGTTCCTATAACTGGAATCTAGCGTCATAAATAAGAGAAATAAGTCTGGTCTCGTTTTATCTTTTAAAGGTTCACAAACTACAATTTTTTATCGTTTTAAGTTCAAAAGGTCGAGAGGTGCTTATGTGTACATTTTACGACCTCAACAATTAATCTGACTGATCATAACAACAGAAATAATTTTAATCATATTCTGATAATGGTGATTTAGTATAAGTGAAGTAAATATACTCTAATACACAGACTGCAGAACAGAGCATTTTGAGCTTTGGAGATGTAGACAGACTAATAAACCTGTTTTTTTACCTGTGTTTTTCATGGCAGATTGTTGAGGTTAAGAAATCCGTGGGGTCGCTTCTCGTGGAACGGGAACTGGTCAGACGAGTGGACGGACTGGCCTCAGCACCTCAGGCACGAGCTGATGGCGCATGGCAGCAGTGAGGGTGTCTTCTGGATGGAGTACACTGACTTTATCAAGTAAGAAACTTCTGTCATAAACCTATGATATGCACTGAATTGGTCTTTATTTTTCGTACCTTTATTTTACCTTGCAAAACATAAAGAACAAGTCTTTGCCTGGGTCTGATATTATCGAGGACCATCCTGATTTTTTCATTAACCTCTCTGCCCTCTGGTGGTCATCTTGAGTAAAGCAGCTGTTCATCATTCATATAGGATTACATAGATTATTTGTCACTATATAATCCTTTTTATTACTTTTACTGGTTCATTCTGTTTTATTATAAACTATGTGTATTGCTTAAAGTAGACTCAAGTGATAGCACCTGTGCATACAGTAAATGACCTTCATTAAACAAAACCACATATGAGCGTTAGCTGTTGTTTAGCACATTGTCTGTCTATATAGAGTCGACACAGTCTTGCTTGGTGCACTGGTTGCTAGGGATTTGGCAGGCGGGGGCTTGTCCTGGCTCACAATGTGTTTTGCTGCATAAAATTAATCCTGCCATTTTGTCAAAGACTCAACTATCAGCTAATATTTCCCCAGCGCTTTCATGTATTTCTAAAGCTTTCATGTGTCATTCTATAGCTATTGGTCTGCATTTGTATTAATTATTTGTGTATCTATCAAAGCATGTTCAATTTTATTACTGAGTTCAGGCTATATAAAGGCTTGTGTTACTTCTAGCCTGGACCACTGGTGTGATTGATGGAGTGTGTCAGGGCTCTAGCGTCCCAGGTTTGCCTAAAGACAGTACAAGTGAATGGGAGGTCATTTATTCCGGGCCCTCCCTGTCTCACTAAATAAGATTCGCAATAAGTCCCGGCAGACCACTGGGGCTGTCCTCCTGAGCCGCTCCATCCAAAGAAATGCACACGGCCCTCCACATAGATCCCATTTGTCTGCAGGCTGTTTATTGTTTTCTCTTGACAGACAAATAATCTGGGAGCTCGCTGTGGCGTATGAGAGATGTAGTGCTCTCACTGACCGGGACAGGACAGCTACTTTAAGATAGTCAATAAGAGCGTTTCATCATCGCTGTCCTCTTTTCCTTTGATGTAGTTTGTTTAGACAGACTTGTTGCTAGTGTTAGACTTCGACTTAGACAAACTTTATTCATCCAGAAGGGAAAATATTTGGACACATTATAATATATACAGTATAATCACAAAGAGCAGTACAAATGGTAATAATAAATAAACACAACATGTACACAACATGAAAAATACATACAAAATATATATATATATATATATATATATATATATATATATATACACATATACACATAGTGTAGCCATTTAGCCAAACAATAGCTATTTATTTCATATTATCAATGTTCGAATAAGAAGGAATAATGATAAATTCATTGTCTTAAAGTATGTATCACAGTGTATTTATGTAGGATTTTGTAAAGTTATTTTCTTGTGTTTTTGGATGACAAAAGAGATGTAAAACAGTTGTCACATAAAAAGAAATGTGCAAAAAAACACACAAGTCAACAAGGTAAATGAAAGAAGTAGTCCCTTGGGTGGTGTCTTTGAAGAAGGCAGTCTTGTATGTTAGCGAGGTAAATGGTGTTTGTACAGCAGCCCCCTCTGAGGCAATGCTAACGTTTAAGGAGTGGCCTGTGATGCATACTGATGACCCGTGCTCATGACTCTGCGACATTAGCCCGTTAAATTGGTGTTTCACTTGAGCGCTCCCTTAATATACTTCTTACACAAACACTCATGCACATCCTCCCCTTGCTCTTGTAGGTACTTTGACTCCGTAGACATCTGTAAGATCCACTCGGACTGGCAGGAGGTGCGGCTGCAGGGCTGTTTCCCCAGTAAAGCCAGTGGACCGGTCACTGTCACTGCGCTCACTGTGCTGGAAAGGACCGCGCTGGAGTTTGCCCTCTTTCAGGAGGGAAGCAGGTAAATAGGCTTTCCCATTATCTCCTTTCGACAAGGGGATAATGGGAAGTGTTACCATGGTTCCAAAGGCTAATTGCTTAAAATTGGATTTGAATGTGTAGTTTTCAGTTTATGAACATTTGGCTAATTAAAGCTGTGAGAAAGAAATTGTTGAATTGGACGTTCCCTGGATATCTCTACAGTCTACAGTCTACACTAACTAACTACTCACATATATAAAAGAAAACAAAAGGGAACATAATCTATGTTAGAATCAGCTAGAATCACTCCAAATTAAATGGCATGATTTTGTTGGGCTAGGTGCTGCCTCAAACTTTTCTATAACTTTAATTTACAGAAATTGCCATAAAGTTTATTTTAGTAACAATGATACTTTAATTCTCTACTTAAGATTGTGTAAACCTACAGCCACCTTCTAGAGCAATTGCTGTTCTTTTCTCATTTTCATTCACTTCATTCATTTAAAAAGACACCACTGACCAATTGGAAATAACCCATGTACCAGAATGTTTTTTTTCTCTCATTCAAATATGAACAAATCCACAATTATCCATATCAGCACTGATTTGTTCTCCATCCCTTTTAAAAAGCGCCCAGTATAAAGTATCTTCTCCGTCTAACACACAGATTTGGTCTCTCTTCCAGGCGGTCAGACACAGCCGACAGTCACCTGCTGGACCTGTGCATCATGGTTTTCCGCGCGTCCTTCGGCAGCAGTAATAAGCTGACCCTGGGCCGGCTGCTGGCCCACAGTAAGAGGGCCGTCAAGAAGTTTGTGGGCTGTGATGTGATGCTTGAGCCTGGAGAGTACGCTGTGGTGTGCTGTGCCTTTAACCACTGGCAGATGAACGCCAGCGGCTCTGCAGGGCCCTCCACCCCCAGTACGTGCACCCGCTCTTAAATAATGTACTCATTAAGTGAAGTCGTTAGGACACAGTTTAAATAAGAGACATGTTTACTAATCTTGTTTTTATAGAACAACTATATTTTATCAGATGATGAAGAGTTATGGCTCATTTTGAATTTTATTTGACATGATTATAAAACCAGGAGGTAAAATATTACAGTTAAATGAGCTGTCATTTCAACAACAGCTACCTTGCCGAAAACGTGCTCTGTTAGAACAATGCTAGCAGTCAACCCATGTAGTGGTTCCCATTAAAAGATATGACAAGGCCATCTATTAACATTAAGTTTACAACTTAATTACTGGTAAATGGCATTCGTCTTGTCGTTTCCATATTATAATCTATTTAATGTAGATGCATACTTTACTGCCTCTTTCTGTGCTTTGTATTATGAGCTACTACCATTACATTTTCAATCTGTCAGTGACTTAGTTAATATGCATACTCAAATTTGATCATCATCATTGATTTCTGGACATTTCAAATGATTTAAATGACTTGCTAAGGCTGCACAATTAATTATAATTGAATCTAGGTGCTGCAATTGTCAAATAGCAAAGACTGCAGTTATTTAGATAATAAATAATAAATGTTGCTAAATATTTTATTGAAAATCTTGTAGAATGGACTTAAAACTTGTTATTAAATGCATGGGATTCTTGTATTAGTTTCTCTGGTCAGATTTCAGCCTTCTCTCAGATCTGAATACTCTGAAGTTGTTTATAGTGTACTCTCTGAACAGAATCATACTTTTAAACGCATATTGCAAATTTAATTGCAATCACAAAAAACATCTCAAAAATCACACCTACATTTGTTTACATGTCATTTTACTAATCTTAAAATGCACAAAAAGCTGCAGCCATAGACTACTGTTTTCTGTTTTCTACCTTTTACATATTTGCTCATTATTTAAAACATTTGACTCCTGTGCAGTCTCGAGTCCCACTAGTGGAGCAGTGAGGAGACCCAGCCAGGACTTTCCCGGCTACATCCTGGCCATCTACAGCTCTCGGCAGGTGATGGTGGAGCAGGTGGAGGCTACTGCTACAACTCTGGCCGATGCTATCATCCTCCTCACTGAGAACAAGGGAGAGAGACACGAGGTGAGACACAGACTACTGTTCTAAAGCAGCAGACAATTTACTGGCAAACGCTCTCATCTTTTTGAATATGAAAGGGTTGTAAAACTGTAAAATCCACTTTGAGCTTTGTACATGTGCTTGTAAATGCATATAACAGCAACTGGCACCCGTGTTCCTGGAGGCACATTTGCTGGCTCTCTTAACCAGCGCCTTGTTGAGAATACTGCCACTTTGGCTGGGATTTCAGAAGATGACTGTTTCTGTTTTTTTGGGTTCATCTTTATTAAATGATTCAGGCGTTCAGCTCTCCAGGAATTCACTGCTCACTGTAGGAGGCCGACCATGTGGGACTCTCATGACAGCCGCTACACAAACATATGGCTAAAAATATGCTAATCTGTTTTTATAAGCACACTAAAAATTATCTGATTTCTAATGTTATCAGATGATTGAAATAGAATTTACTCAGATAAAAGAGCAAAGTAATGTGTCAAAGGCAAAGATGAAAATGTTAAATATTTAAGTAAATTTATTGCTCTCTGTCTTCCAAAGAGTTACTCTACAAATCCATTTTCTTAATCCAGAATGTAACTACTGGTACTTGCTTTTCATGTTATTTCACACTAATCTCTCCCCTTTTGTCTGTTTTCAGGGCCGAGAAGGTATGACCTGCTACTACCTGACCCACGGCTGGGCGGGGCTTATCGTGGTGGTGGAGAATCGCCACCCGAAGTACTACCTCCATGTGTCATGTGACTGCACCGACAGCTTTAACGTGGTGTCAACACGCGGCAGCCTCAAGACCATCGACAGTGTACCACCTCTGCACCGGTAAACACGCACATTCACACACCTCAAGAACTGGCTCTGGCTTGTTTGACTAATAAGTAGTTTTTCTCTATTTTAGCTGTATTTTTTCCTCTATGATCAATATTTGTGGAGCTTTAACAATTTATCAGATTTATCTTTATGTGGACTAGTGTTGTCTCAAATTCACAATAAATATGTTTAGTTTGTCACCAAATCAGAAAAATGTAGTACCACTTATTAGTCAACTACTTCTTAGTAGCTGACTATTAAAGCAATAATTAGTTGCTTTTTCATAAGTAAATCTTAAACTCATGTCCCACTGAATACACCATTCTTACATTAGCATTAGTATGTTTTATTACTACAACTTTTACATAACACGACATAATATTAAGCCAAATTTGTGTAATACTTTATAGAAAACCATTCCCTTTTGCAGTCATTTTCTGAGTTTCATATGTTCCCTGGCAATTTCCCTTTCTGTTTGGAGGAAGGACTATTTAGCAGCACGGTCATCGCAAATGGAATTGTCAAGTGGCGTCTGATAATTGCTTTGACATCGTAGGTGTAAATGAGACTTCCCATTTCCTGCTATCATATTCTTGTTCTTCAGATTGCATCAGGAAATTACACAACTGATGAAGCACTTATTGTTGGGGTCTGGAGTTAACCCCGTGTTTGCCATATAGGAAAAAGTAAAACGAGGTCTAACTCTCTGTCTCCCTCTGCAGGCAGGTGCTGGTGGTGCTCTCACAGCTGGAGGGGAACGCTGGTTTTTCCATCACTCACCGCTTGGCTCACCGTAAAGCAGCTCAAGCCTCTTTGGGAGACTGGACCCCCACCAAGGCAACACACAGCCCGCAACTGACCCCAGATATTGATGGCCTGCATCGCCCAAGACCGCTATGACCACCGCCCACAAAATAAACGCACACTTAATCAACTATAAAGCAATTAACTGTCCGAGCACTGGAAGGCACCAAGTATTACTGAATGTATGGGGTTCACGTGCTTATAGGCATTCTTAAACCCTCCCTAAAAGATCCATCTGGGATTAGGGATGTGCCATTTCGGAGTAAAAATTGAGGGAGTGACCAGGACTATATAATCCAGTCCAGACTACTACTGCTTATTTTGTATACGTGCTGTACGAAGAATAAATATTGGATTTCAATGAGCTTCACAGACGTCAGGGTGGAGTGCTGTAACTACTGAGCCATTTTTCCTGGCCCAAGCCCTAGGAGCCAATCAGCAAGCCCCCTCGGGAATCCCCATCGCCTGATTGGACAGCTGAAATACAAATGCGGTACTGAAAGAGCCAAACACCACTATATATGTCCTGTTTATCTGTTTTCAGTCTTATCAGTTTTGTATACAGTCATTTCACATATAAGTGTACATTTAAGATAGGAAAAGCCATTATTCATTACGTATTGTCATTATTCTAGTTTGATCATTTCTAGCTCAGGACTAAATCTGTGATATATTTAGCTGAATTCAAAACTGGTGGATTTTGCTGGATTTTCCACTCTGCATTGTGGTGATGACATGTTCAGTCACTCCTCTAAAGATTTGTTTTTTCCTTTTTGATACCAACAAATTATTATGTTCCCCACAAGAGAACACACGCTGGTCCGACTCGCACGCTCCTAATTTGTCGTGCGAAGGCTCTGGGGAAATTTGTAAAAGGCTGTTTAGCTTGTCTCATTTTAACACATACACCTGACAGATTTCTTCAGTTTAAAGTGAAATGAATGTGCAGACCTGTTGTTCACACGTGATTCCCGTAGGATGAAGCTACATACACAATACACACTACTGCACTATTATCTAATACATTTACAAACTATTAGGCTTTCAAATTTTACACATGCCTCATTTATTCTCTAAACTGAGAAACTAACTACACCCATTGGTTTTGTCTTGCCTTATGTACTATTAGTATAATCATTTCCTTGGCAGTTCCCACAGCCATGTGTGCCCTTGGTTGATCTGGCATAGGTTTTACACTGTCCTTAGAGTCAGTTCTCTGTCAGTCTTCTGTGGCATAAGTAATGGCCTAAATAGAATTAAACAACATGTTGTTTTTTTTTGTTGTTTTTTTACACAGACATCTTGTGTTGTGTCACATGTGAACACCTGGTCTGAACATTGTATTACACGTTATGCTGTCACCATATAGTAGCGTATTTAACATAAGCATAAGTAGCTGAATTTCTTTTAAGGCCAGTTGTGTCCCTCATCCCTCAGTCATCACCACAGATGTCCATAGTTTACTGAGGACAAGGGAACAGAAAATGGTACGAAAACTGCACTTTTGAAGTTTGTGTCTTACTATTGGAAAAGGATGGATAAACTTGAGTATTACATGGATTCTACGTCTTGTTGTCAATGATGGTTAATATTTGACTACAGTCGATCTTTTAAGGTCCGTTGTTACTGCACTCAGTGCAGTCCTACCCTCTCCTCGCACAACCACTTTTTATGTTTTGTAAAAATGTATACCATAGCATAATGGCAACTTAAAACTTGAAGCTATGTGTACAAATGTTTTCCAAAGAGAACTTAAAATGCAGATTGCCCTGTACGTATGTGTGTGTGATTGTCCTGACTAATTTATTTGTAAATGATTTGTAGGTCTGTTTTATGAATAATTTTAAATGCTTAATAAAATGCTTAAAGTTGATTGGAAACCTGCACTGAAAACTGCAACAGTCCCAGCTCGGTTGACATCTTCACAAGAGTATTTTCTACTTTTGCCGCCATCTTCCAAACTAATGCATTTCCACAGAAACGCTCTTTCTCTCCTTTGCCTGGTTTCTTGTAAATTGTACAGACTTCAAGCATAAACCACAAACTCAGCAGCTCAATGAATATTACAGCTTTGGCTGAACAAATGGATCTCCAATGAATGTGATATATTTTAATAATTTTGTCTGGGGATAAAATGGCTTCATGTGTACAAATGTATGTTTAATTTTCAATCTCAGGTTCCAATGGACCAAATAAATTTTTTAACTAAAGACGACATTTGTTGTTATTGGTAATGACCATCTGGGCTTAGTCATGCTGACTCATATACTTCTGTTGCTCTGTAATTATTTATGTATTTACTTACTTTTTCTCATTTCTGATTAAGAGAGGTGTGACAACTTAAGATTAAGACTCAAAGTCAATATGTAATAGCTCATGTATTTTCTCACCCTCAGATTTCAGGACTCCTGAGTCGTGACTCAAGTTGGACTTGTGAGTGATGACTCAGACCTGTTGTTGACAGTTACTCACACTCATGAGATAGACTTGGATTTAATTTTCTTTACAAAAACAAAACATGTCAATAATTGTTTTTACCTGTAGATTTTATTTATGCTATTTTTGAGAGGAGAACTCTTGGAGACAGGCAAAAATAACTGTCTTTGATACAGTGGAAATTCATATTTTACACAGCAAAGTCACAATTTTACTTGTGTTTGTGAGACCAGCAGGTCCCATGAGGCCCCATTGTACCTGGTCTTTGGTCAAAACGGGATCTCAGTCAGTGACCTTCAGCTGCACAGTACAAATGATCCAATATTAATTCCATTAAAATTGAGGACAATTTTTCTTAAGTGTTTCAAAGAGTAGTATAATGACCCTCTGGGGTTTGAAGCACTAACCACAGGGTACTGAATAATTTCAGATTTTAAAAGGAAGTAAAATTGTGTTGAATAAGAAAAACTCTTTAGTAAATCATTTAAATATATATTTAAATATTTTGGAGGATTTTGGACATCATGACATAATTGACAGTATAGGCTTCTTCTGCATTTGATTACCTAATAATACCTGAATTAGGAGGTATTATTAGACAAAGCTAAGTGGGAACCAGTAAAACCACTGCACCACTACTGACCCTTTAGTCGTGACCACGCCCCCTTGCACCAGCCGTCTGAAGGAGCGTCTTGTTTTTTCTAAAATTGGCCTCGGCTCTGGTTCCTCCGCTCTCCTGGTCGCCCCCTCCGCTGATGGTCTCCCCAGGGCGGCCGCACACCGCCTCCCCTCGCAGCAGGCAGCACCCTGCGCCAGCACCAGTCCCATAGGCCCGCGTGTGTGTGTGCGCGCGCGTGTGTGTGTGTGGACCATGAGGGGGTGTCATTAGCAGCACGAGGTGATGTCAATCTGTTCTGGACGCGCACGCAGAGGAGACGCACACACCTCCAAACTCTCCAGTCAAAGGTAGGGCAATTTAGGTTTTTTTTGCTGCAAATCACGAATTTGTGCGTCAGACTTTTCGTCACGTGGGACAGAGATAAGGAGATATTGAGTTTCAAAGTTAAAACTAAGAAAATAGGAAGATTTTTCTGAAGATGTGATAAGGTTTCTTGTGGAAAGTGCAGTGCTGTCTTACGAGTGAAGGCGGAGGAGCTGGGGTGCTATAGCCTACTTATTAGAATTTTTTTCTTTTTCAAACTGCAGTAGTTCAAAACTTGCTTATTTAGGCCAGACATATTCACTATTGACTTAAAACTTCTATCACACTGGCAGGCCTAATGTTTTGCCAATACAGGCTTAAGTTCGTTTGATTACAGATGACCTCTCTACTGAAAAGCCATATAGTGTTTCCCATGTGTTAAAAACTGTGAATGAACATGTGTTGCCTCATAAAATCCTTCATTTGTGCGTGTCTTGGCAGCTGCACCAGTGCTTATCAAGAATAGCTTTTTAAACCACTCCGGAGTCATGATGTAAAAATCTGCTGGCACTCTTTGTGTCTGTCAGCTCCAAATATTTGGGCTGATACTGTAGTTAAGAGCTGCTTCTTCTCAGTTGCCATGACCTGTGCTCTTTGTCCCTCCCTTGCCTGACTAGCCACTCCCTTCTACATGATGTTCATTTTGACAGCATGTGGTTTAGGCTGGCCAGGTAAGTCCCCCTGTACGTCTTCACTAAAACCTCAGGCCTACATGTGATGTCAAATATCTAAATAAATGTCTTATCTAATAAATAATAGAGCTGTGTTATTGTTTTGTAGAAATCATGGCAGCAGCAGACCAGATCCCAGCGCTCCCTCAGTCTTTCGCTCCAAACACAGACAGTGTCTTCTCTGACATGTCCGGCTTCTTCTCCATGGACACCAACGTTCCTGGTCTTTCTAAAGTTATCCTCAACAAACTCAACATGAAAGATTATGGGGAATATCGGTAAAAGAAAAAAAAAAAGAAATACAGCTTTGCCTCTCCAAATCTGTCCATTTTAAAGATTTTTCCTGTTCTTGTATTTTTAGGGCAGCTGTAGAGGGGAAGCCCAAAGGAATCTCTTTTCGAAACTATAAAGAGATGTTCCAAAAGATGGAGGAGACCTTTAAGTTCTGCACTGGCTGCAATGCACTCCCAGAGCATCTGAGCGAGGGCCAGAGCCTCAAACGCTGCATCAAGTGAGTGCAAGAATGATCTGTTCACACAACAGGGAAAAGTGAGGAAGGTGTTGAAGACTCATGTGAAGTATTTTAGCAGAAATCCAAATGCACTTTTTACATTTTTTTTTACTTTTTATTTTTTATTTGTACACATTTTAATTGGCAAACCTTACCTTACAAAACCAGTGGCTGAGTTCTGTCAGACAGAAAAAGTCATAGTGTCATAATACAGGAAGTGCTCCACTGTGTTTTTAAACTTCATACACGTTCACTAGTATCATTTGGATTGCCCTGGAATTCCCAATTTCTACTAAACAAAAGGTAAAACAAAATCAAACAAAAGGTAACTTCATGACATCACAAGGTGGAGCAAAGCATTTTGAGCTTTGGAGTAATAATAAAAAGTAACTCAGATACAACTCGAGGTATGTTTATGATGAGGTAACAGTGTTATAACGTGGCTTAAAGTGAGACAATGTTGTTTAATATAGGACCTAAACATGAAAAACATGAAATAGGTATAAATAAATAAATTAAACCCATAAAATAAATGAGTGCTTGTCCTGAACAGAAACAATAATTCTGGGGGCTTACTTCTTTGTTTAATTAGCATGGGCTACTCATCACACAGGAGTCGGTGTACCCATGTATTCATAATGGCTTTGGTGGTTTACATAGGCTGGCACTCTTCTATGATCTGTTTGACAGAGCCACTTAAAATGTTGCCACATTAACACTGATACACTTTAATCCTTATTATTTTAGGGAGAAATTAGAAGGTCATCGCGCTATCATCAGCAGCCGTCAAATGTCTGTTGACTAACAACGTATAAGGTTACGACACTTATAGACTATTTCACACAGTAGTATAGATTGTGACCAGGGTAGACTAGGGTGTATTTTTAGCTTTTATTTGGAGGTCCCTAAAGGCTCTCTCTCAGATTCCAAATGGTAAGACTACACTTGCAATGCACCCAAAGGAATGCCCCAGATTGATTGCATTCTCTGTTTATTATGATTGGTCATACTGTGGTCAAAATCAAACATTGTCATTGTTTTTCTCTTGCAAGATTATTTTGTAAGGTTAATAATACATAATACCAAGAGTATAAGGCCACTGAGGAAAAGAGTATGATATTAGTGCTATCATCAAAGTAGTGTTATTTTTGTAGACTAAAATAGTTTCACCAATGTTATATATAAAGATGAATTGTGTAGCTTTTCGGGTGGAGGGTCTGTCACCTGCTTGCTTTTATGATATAAATGTCATTGCTCTGCCTGGAATGTTTCACAGTATGACATTAAACAGCTCTACTTTACATTTATTAAATTACAGCTGGTTTTAAAACTCATAAATTCCTAGAAAAACAGACATTCTGGCTGTGAGTGGGGTTGGCTCTCTATAGATCTGACTTGTAACTTGCTTGTTTGAGGATAGAAAGGTTTAATGCCATACTGTGAAACATTCTAGACAAAGAAATAAAGCATTTGACAGACCCTCCACCAAAAAATTACACAGTGCACTGTTAACTAAAAATTACTATTAGTATGCTATAATAATTTTTACAATGTGACCCATGGACCACAAAATGCCCAGGTCAGTTCAAAGGTCTACTTGAAATTTGTTCTATGTCTAGAAGTATGCCCAGAATGTGCCCTGAGAGAGACAGCCGTTGATATATGATTGGATGTAAATCACAGGCCTCAGAGGGTAGGAGCAGCTGGCAGCAGCAGTCAGACCCATAATCCAACAGGAGATTCAGTCGGACAACACATCGGCACCGGGCGCACAAAGAGGTGTTTAAGTACTAATCCATCAAAACGCTTTTATCAGGGGGCTAAAAGTGGCCCCAATTCATCCTGTGTCACAAGTTTAAAGCATTCTAAAGACTCTCCACTGGTCCAGTAATAGATGGAAGGGAGGAGGTATGACTGCTCATTTGTATTGATACTTTGCAGTTACATCATGCTGGGGTTGTTTTACATGCAGTTACCATGGTGACAAAGCAAACACAGACAAAAAAGTTTTAAGATCGTCTGAAAACTCAAGAAAAAGCACAAAATTGATTTAAATAGCACATTTTCAGGAGTCTGTTGTTGTTGTTGTTGTTGTTGTAACCCAAGCCGTCTTTCGTCCTTGTCTTCTAAGTTAGTCCCAGGAACTCTGCAGCTCCTCTGGGGTCTGTCCAGAAAGATTGCACATGGATTTGCTGGTTTTGCAGGGCAGGTGAAGAGGTGCTGTGTTGTATGAGATGTTTGACCTCAGTCTGGAGAAGTGTCAGTAAACGGTCATGGTCACATATTTATATTGCTCTTTTCCACCTTCAAGGCACTCAAAGCACTTTACAACACGGAACTATTCACCCATTCACACACCAATGTACACAGACACTGTGGGCGAGGTAGGTTAAGTGTCTTGCCCAAGGACACAATGACAGAATTCATCTGTGGCAGCTGGAATCACACCAGCCAATCTGTGGGTCTGATTGCTCAACCAATGATGTTTATGTCAAGGATGTCTAGGTTTATTTGTGAGAGACTTGTAAACATCTCCCCTGTTGTAATTCCAGCTAAACAAAATTGCAATATCTTTTAAACAGTTAATAAAAATGTTGTGTACCAAGCATCTACAGACCGGGTTTTTGTACTGAGCTGTCAGTCAACCAGTATTTTGGCCACGGACAGGTGAAAGAGTTAAGGGCTTTCTCCTCCTGGTTCAGCAGTGGACTCCCATCCACAGCTGTTAAAGGATGAAACCAAATGGTGAGCTGATCTGACCCAGGGATGACCTGACAGTCTGTGGAGAGGGCTAAACTTACTTTTGTGCTTTTCTGTTTCATGCAGTGCTATGCTCAGACACATGTCATCTACCAAATCCACTACTGGTCAAGCACTGTTATGCTCTGACTGAGTGACTGAGTGATGTGTGATACTTTCTTCTTTTATTAAAATGCATGACTCAATTCTGTCCCCCAGATGCCTGAACGTGTATTACTGCACCAAAGAGTGTCAGAAGAACAACTGGCCATTGCACAAAAAGGTGTGTAAGACCCTGCGCCTGGTGGCCATTGACCGACTGGTAGAGTGGCTCGTGTTCCTCGGTGAGTAATGAAATGAAAGAATTATCAAAGTGGTAAAGTTTAAATATCATACTTGTTAATGAGGCATATTTAAGAGGCTGTGGAAACAAAACCTCAAGCGAATTCTAATTTCAGAGTTGTTCTTTGATACCAAAGTGATTTTTAAATTTTAATTAGAAAGTCTTTTTAATCCAGGAGTTCTCAAACTGAACTGAATGGGACCCCAAAAATAACCACGGCACGGCCCAGGGATCCCCACTATAAAGTGAAATATACATGTCTTCCACTGTCAAGTTGCAGAATATAAAAAATCATGTTTATTGTGTTATTTGACCTCATTTCCATTGGTGTTTAATGTTTTTATTAAATAGAACTAGATTAAATACATACCTAACTTTAAAATGAGATCACAACAGATCCACTGTTTTGAACCTCTAAAGTGTATACATTTACACAGTCTTAATAATTATGTTTGGGTTTTGACAGGAAACCTCCCGTTCCCCACTGACAAATGGACTAAACCCACGAGTGATGTGAAGACTTGGGATGACTGGCTCTCCATGCAGGGCGACCTCAGCGCTCGACTGGACACCATCTTGGCCAGTCCCAACATGGAGACGCTGTGGAAGAACGCCAGCCATCCTCGCCCTGAAGATGCAGACCTCAGACAGTCCCTATGGCGCATCCAGAGTGAATTTCTGTCCCGAGTTCTCACTGTGGGAATGGCCATGCAGCAATTTAGCTTGGACCCGTACTCCAAACCCTTGACCATTCACATCATAGGAGCATCCCACAATGAGACTATGGGGGCCAAACTGACAGATTATGATGAGCTGAGCCGCATGTTTCCAGGACACCAGGGCATCGAGGTGGTGATGGTGGGGCCCGAGGTGGTGGATGGGCCCATAATGAGGCCCCCTCTGAGGGCGTTCGGGCCCAGGCAGCGAGTCTTCATGAGTGCGTACAAAGCCCTGTACCATCAGTTCTGGGAGGATGTGGTGGAGAAGCAGGAAGCCGCCAGACCAGACCTGGTGGTGGGCTTTCATCCTGGTAAGAACTTGTGTTATCATCAGTGCTAGGAAGTCAACAAAAAAAATGTATAAAGAGAAAGAGTAATTACATTTGGTGGTATTCGGAACAGTTACTTGACTCAAATCAAAGGAATAATTTGCTGTACTTGAATACACATTTTAGACTTGAATGACTGAAGTTTAAAATGTGTATCAAACTGCACAGAATTAGTAAAAGAGAAATAGGAAACACAGCTCTTGTGTTGTGTCTATGTGCAATTTTGATGAAACGTACATTTGTTGTTTGAAGTTGCTTTAATCTTATGTCACATTTTATACAGTAATATAATGCAGCTGTGAGTGTAAGTATTATAATACAGTACTCATGTAACAGAATTTTACATGAGTATTTTAGAACATACATTTTAAAGCACATATTCAGTATTCTCTTAGAAAATATTTTTTTAACCACCATCACTGGTTATCATTATGTTTTTTTTAATCAAACTAATTCATGTTTGAAGTGCTAAATGGTGGTAATTGGAAAAAAGAAGAAATATACAAAAATTGAATTCTCAAATGTGGAATTAGGATTATGGACAATTTTTTTCCAGTCCAATATATGTTCTAGTTAGAAACATGATATTCCCAAAGTATTACCAGAATACACTGAAAGAAAATGTTATTCATCAGTGTATCAATGAATAAGACATGCACTGGCCAACCTTTCAGAAAACCAATGACCTCACTTCTTTGTCTTTAACACATCCAAAAATAGACTATTGTATTATGTTTATGTTCAAACACGTCAGTCACATGCCCTCTCTCCCTGTGGTCTTTATTAAAGTAGTACCTCAGCTCACTCCCCACTCATGCCTCCCTGTAGAGCTGAGAAGCTGCAAAGTGAAGGGGGTTAACCCTGTCCCAACTGTACTTGTAACCTCTTTTCAATTGTCGCTGGGTTTTCTAAAAGAGACTAGGAGCTACATATACAGAGACCTGTCATCCTCAAGAGTGCATAGACTCCATCATCTTGATGCCACTGAAACTAGCTTGAAATGATTTTGTTGTAACTTATGTCTTATGTGTAGATGTGATATATTGAATCAGTATGCTACATAGTAAAAGTAAAAAGAAAAAAAAATCTTCATGATCCAGTGTACAAAATATAAATAATTCAGTAATTATTGGTATATTAAATGTCCTATATTATGCAAAATCGACTCACATGTTTGAGTTACCATTTATTATTAGGCTCTGTACATCTCCAAAGCTCAAAATGCTCAGTTTTATCCTGTGATGCCATGTAGTGGTAGTTTTGAAGTTACATTTGACCTTTAGTCAATAGAGATGGGCAATTCCAGGGCTGAAATTATCCAAATGGTTCTAGTGAAGGAGTTTGGAATTTACAAACACAGTGGAATACTACTTGCCTGACATCACAAGGAAGAAAAGAGTGATTTCTGTTACAGAGAAGAACATGTGTGAATGAAACAAAACACAACTCTGGGTATGTTTGTGATGAGAAAACACATAACATTAGAAAATAGCACAATATGGGCCCTTTAATTAATTTTCTCCCCTGAACATCTTGTTGAAAGTATGAAATATGACACAACCCCCTCTGTGCTTCAGGCTTTCAGTGCCGTTTAAGCTTTATCGATGTGATGACCAGTGATTATAGATTTGTAACTTGTCACAGCAACACCATTGTCTAAAACAATGTATTGAGTGACAGTTGTTTTCAAAAATCCAACTCTGTCTTCAAGCTGTGGACTCTTAAGTAAGGTGGATTTCACTGGACCAAACCTGTTTATATATAGCTGCAGTGGCACTGGGATAGCTCGTGTTAATGTGCAAGAATGTAAGAAAACTGTGGCAGCTGTTTTGGAAGATGATGATGTCTTTAAAATCTAGTTAAGACTTAAAGGTGCATTGTGTAACTTTTCCAGTGAAGGGTCTGTCCAAGGCTTTTCTGCATGGTGATGTCATTGCTTTGTCCGAAATGTATCTCCTTAAACATTTCTATCATTGTGGAGAATAAACCAGGCCAAGTTACTGGTTAGACCTGTGGAGAGGCGACCCCGCTCAAAGTCAGAATTTTTGAGAAACAAAACCATCTGTAGCTGAATAAATATCAGGCAGATCTATTTAATATCATATTGTGGAACATTCAAAGCAGAGCAGTAACATATCCATAGAAAAAAAAAGGTGACAGACCCGAACCAAAAAGTTACATAGTGCACCTTTAAGATTTCTAATTAGGATGAATACAAAGACAACACAAGCTGGATGTTCAGGGGACTAGTTAATTACTGGCTGTAAAACATTAAAAGAGTGCTACTTTGTTAACAATTTATTCTCCGTCTGATTTCTCAAAAGGCGACTTGTGGTGCGTATTATCTACTGTAGACCTTCACTGTGCTATGTTTGGGCTATAATTCATTAGCCATGAGTGACATAGTTCTCATTATGACTTGTTTTGCATTGTTTCGTACAACAGGTTTCCATGCCAACCAGGGTCTGATCGAAGGCTGGCTGCCGACTCTGCTGCTCCTCAGAGACTACAACATCCCGACTTTGTTCACCGTCTTCAAGTGGGTGTCTGACAACTTCACTGCATCCTTCACAAAGAAAGCTTATTTTAATCATACAAAAAGACCCAATTTTGAGATATTACACAACTAAGGAATTTCATTAAAACCTGTGCCTCTAAGAGAGAATTAGTACCATTTGAAATGATTCTAAAAACGTAGCGAATTAGTCATAATTCGACAAGTGCATATAATCTGTCTGGGCACTACATTGTTTGTATGAATAATGGAAACTGCATTTGAGCTGAAAATGACGTGCAATCCTACGCATAGCTGGAAACTGGGTCACATACCTTACCTATTGTTCATTTAATATGGGCACAGTTGCCTTAATGCAGGTACATTTTGCTTGCAGTCAGTGACTTGCACTGACAACATGGTGATTGTACTCCCTCTTGTGGTGGGAAATTAATATAATACATATGTCTGTAGAGTACAATGTAATAATTTCACAGTTGTTTTGTTTACACTATTTTGTATCTGTCCCTCTGCAGTGAGAATGAGCTAAAGTACTCCCTGCAGATCCTGCTGGAGTTGGAGATGAACATTCAGGACAGTGGAGCAAACCCTTTTAGTTCTCAGAAACCCGAGCAGGTCCAGGCTTCTCCAAACACAAAGCCGGTCTACTGCAGCTCCCACTACATCCGCTTCCAAGGTCTGCTGCCTCGAAAGGAGTTTGAGGAACCACAACCAGAAACTTCATGAAGAACCCTCCACAGTCAGAGTAAAAAATGGACAATATAAGTTTATAAATTCTAGATGAATGTTGCGATTGTGTCAGTGCTCCAAATTCCACGTGTATGTTACCAGATCCAAATCTTATTATTATTATTATTATTTTTTATGTGTTTACAGTAATCTGGATTTATAACTGATTATTTGAAGTCTAGTGCATACGTTAAGAATGAAACACAAATAAATGAACTTATTTTTATTATATTCTACTGTGGGCAATGATATCAGTGAACTCTGCCATCTACTGGATAAAAACTGCAGTAGAGAGATTTCTGTCCAGTATGCTCACTACTATTTAATGTATTCTAATTCTATAATTTATCATATTGAAAGGCATTATTTATTATTGTAGACCCTACTGATTTTTGGTAGCGTATAGCTTTACTGGTTAAAAGGAAACTATAGTCACAACATTAATTCTGAACCTGGGTTGCCAGTACCAGTGCTTTCAGTCATATTCCTCATATATAAGACTGCATTCTTCAAGTAGCTCAAGTGTCTTCTGGAAGTATCTGGTCTTGTGAGAGTTTTCTAGAAGGAAAAGCACAGGTGGTATTTTTGCCCCCACTCAGCACTCGCATGTCAGAGAGAGAGAGGGGGAGCTGGGACTCCACAGCACATGAAGACACTTTTCAAATGACGGATACACAGAAGTAAGTCACTTTTACCCACTGTGTTTGAGCTCAAAGTAATAAACAGTTTCATTGTTGCTTAAATTTCAAGCATTTGCATTTTGTAAAAAAGACGTGGGAAACTTGCTTGGTGGGACAAGCTCAAGATGGCCACAGACGTGTAGAGCCAGTAGCCAGTTATTTGAGTTGTTAAAGGAAGTGGACAACATCTTTCATTGAAGATTTACTCTGAGATAGTTGTCGTCACGCTGAAGTGGGATACATGTGCGTATACTGTATACATGTACATATGTAGACATAGATTATCTTTTGTTGTTAAATGTTATCCAATGAGCCCATAGCTTTGTCCTTTCTTACAGCAGCTGTGCTTTGCTATTTATAGAACTAAAGGAGTCTATAGGCAAACACAGTCTAGCTCAACACCCTGTCTGAAACTTTACATTGATTACAATTTGATTACAATTTTAGTCAAAATAAAAGTTTATTATACTTCTTCTGTTCAGTTTTAGATGAATCTTTTAATATTTCTAATACTGGTTAATTCTGAGACATCAAAAAACCTACAGGTGTTACCGAACTGAAATGAGTAAATGATGAATCCTTGTTATTTCCAGGACAATGGCAGAGACCAAAGCTAAACCGATGGCCTTCAAGACTCAGAAGGAGATGTTTGAAAGGATGGAGGAATCCTACAAAGTGTGTGCACACTGTGAGAAGAGACCAAGCCAGCTGTCCAAACCTGAGTCCATGAAGCGCTGTTCCAGGTAGAACCATAAATCTTATGTAGTGTTAATAACCCATTTCTGATATGCCCATAGCTTCAATTTAGACACACTCTATTGCTCTTCTAGATGTCTCAATGTGTACTATTGCTGTAAAGACTGTCAGAAAGAGGACTGGCCCAAACACAAGAAGCTCTGTTCTCAGCTGCGACTGGCTGCTATCGACAGAATTGTGGAGTGGCTTTTGTTTAAGGGTACAGTTTGATTTATGGATCACTATATGTGTAGTTCTACATCAAGTGAAGATAACACAAAGCAATTCTGAATCTGCCATTTACACTGTTTTCAAACTAAATAAACATTTTTATTTTATCATCATCAGGTGAGCTCCCGTTCCCCACAGAAAAATGGTCTAAGCCTCAGTCAGAGATAAAGGGCTGGGACGACTGGCTGGCGATGCAAGGTGACCTGACCCCACGCCTGGAGCCCATTCTGAATGGAAACAACATGAAGGAGCTGTGGATAGATGCTGGCAGACCCCGTCCTGATGATGAAGACCTTAAGCAGTCCTTATGGAGAGTTACCAGTGAGTTCATGTCCCGACCAATGACCATCGCCTGGGGAATACGGCTGTTTGGGCTGAACCCTTATAAAAAGCCTCTCACAATTCACCTGGTGGGAGCAGGACAGTCTGAGACCCTGGGAGCCAAACTGACAGACTATGATGAGCTCAGCAAGATGTTCTCAGAACACCAGGGAATAGAGGTGGTCCTTGTGGGACCAGAAATCATGAATGGGCCTGTGGTGAGGCCTCCTCTCCGTGCGTTTGGACCTAGGCACAGGGTCTTCATCAGTGCATACAAGGGCCTGTATCATGAGTTCTGGGAGAATGTGGTGGAAAAGAAGGAGGCAGCAAAGCCAGACCTGGTGGTGGGCTTTAATCCTGGTAAGGACATAACACACACATCACACAATGATTCATGACTCCATGGAAATTCTTATACACACATATATCATAATCTTTCCAAAGGTTTTGATGCCAGTCAAGGTCTGGATGAAGGATGGCTTCCAACTCTTCTTCTGCTCAGGGATTATGAGATTCCTGCCCTGTTCACTGCAGTCACGTAAGTGTAGTAGTATAGTAAACCTAGAGTGATGATAATTAGTATTTGTGTTTTAACTCTGTTTAAATGTCCACAGTGAGACAGAGATGACCTACTCACTGCAGATCCTCCAGGAGCTGGAGATGGACATGAAGGGGAGTGGAGCAAACCCCTTCACATCTCTCAAACCTGAAGTGGTGGGCTCTTCACCAAACAGGCCTCCAATCTACTGTAACTCGCACTACTTCTGCTTCCAGGGCCTGTTGGAGACCGTGGAGTTTGAGGAGCCAGAAGATTAAAGCTTGGGGGCTTTAGATATTTCCTTACTTGTGTTATTATATTTTACATTTGTCATAATTCTGTTATTTAAATTCTGCTGCATTTATTGTCTCTAATGTTCTTATCATACTTTTTGTATTTTAAATGTACTTTGCATTCTCTATCATATGTAAATGCACTGTTACTGTACCATAGATGACTGTTACGCAAATGTACATTTTCTTAACTATGTTTATTTTTATGTAATTTAAAATAAATATTGACATTGTTACATTGCACTCCAAAGGTAACCTTAAGGTTCACACTCACGTTTAAATCCACAGATACCGAGTAGTGTAAAAATTAGATCCAATGTGAAAAGAATGAGATTAACATAAGTGAAAAATGCAACCATGAACTGAATAGCCCATATGCAGTAGCTGGGAGGACAGTCACTGGGACGGGGGTTGCCCTTAAACATGAAAATGGGATAGACAATAGCTGTAAAAACATAAACTAACACTGAGATGACCAAGAAGATGAAGACAAAACGGTCCAGGCTGAACGGCAGACATTTCTTAAGTTTCTTCAGGATGTTGGTGGCAATGATGAGAGGGAGGATGGGGAAGGGAATGATGTATAGTATCACACACACTATTACCATTGGCTTGTCTCTATAGCCGCTCAGAGACACATAAATCATACAGCTTACGAAGGCCTCCATCACTTTGAAGAATCCAGGGAGTGCTGCCAAGTAACTGCCCTTTTTCTTGTCAATAAACTTGTCTTTTATGACTTCAAGTGAGTAAAGTAATCCACTCAAAATAGCAAATATACTCACAATTATTCCATGAATGCAAGTAAAGCAGAAGTAGAAGTTGACATAGGTGATAGCCACAGTGACAGTCATGAGTGCGGACGTCATGGCCATCCCAGTGGTGAAATCAGACCAGTCCATACATAACTTGAGCAGGAGATGGAGTTTAAACATCTCTACAACTGTGATGACCAAGGTGATGAGAGGACAGAAGGACCAAGTGAACATGGCATAGTTCCAATATGTGTGACTGCTGGATCCTTTTAGAGCAGACACAATAAAAGTGACAAGAGAAATCAAGATCTGAGCCATGTGCAGCCCACCTCGACCGGATAAGAGAGAGGACGGAGTAAAGACCGCCTGTGACATGGTGTCCTTGATCTGATCGAGGATGCCCATCCCTGGTCTGTTCAGGTCTAGTGTACAGTGAAAGAACCTCACCACACAGCTGTGCAGAGTGAAGTATGCCAAGATAATTACATGGTCTTTTATTGCACTCACTATTTGACTGTCTAGTTTGCATAGTATTCACAAATGAAAATGAATAAAGATTCCAAAAGGAGCTTAGTATAGGATCTGGCCTTGCATAAGAGCAATGTTTTTCTTTCTTTAATTAGATATAGTTGCTAATGTATCCTGTTCAATTGTTTGAGTAAATTATAATAAAAAGGTTCAGCCAATAATAATTATTATAATAGAATACTATAATAGAATACACAAACATATTGTACATTGTCCTCACTTCATTCATAACTGAATGCAAAAATACTGATTTGTTTGATGTTTATGTTTTATATTAATAAACATTTGCAAAGTAGCCTACATTTTCAAAATATGCTATTATAAACTATTGAAAAAAAAGTTATAACTGAAGGGGGTTAAATTAATAATGTAAACAATGCTATACTTTTTTTTTTTTATTTGAGAAATAAATATACATGCCTTCATTATAATTACCGCTGTTTTTAACACGGATATATTTATATGTAACACTGTACGCAGATCCACGCTTAAAACTGCTGCACACGCTAAAACTAAAATAAACATAATGTATTGATATGATTTAATGAAAACATCAAAATGTTTAATTTAGCAAAGTATTTAATGTACTTCAAAAACAAAGTCTATGAGGACCTAAATGAACTGACAGGTTTCCGGGGACAGTAAATAGCGAACACAAGCAGGAAGTTGTTGTCAAGTGTCAGTTTCATCCTCAAACCTTGGATCAAATGAGCTGCATTGTCTTCTTTTAATGCTGTTCCTGTTCACAGTTAACTCTGGAGGAAGCCGTCGCTTTGTTGGAGCTGTATTTGGTGATCATGATCATTTCATTTTCCTGGGCGATATATTTTATATTTGTCTCTAAGCCTCTGTTTGGCAAAAGCTAGCTTTCGTTAGCAATGACTCTTTGACAGATTAGTGGTGAATATCTGTTCTGAATCCCGTGTCGGGGACAAGAGGCTGCTCAGATGGATTTCTCCAAGTTTCTGGACGATGACTTTGATGTGAAGGACTGGGTGAATGGCGCTTTCAAAGTGGTGCAGAAGGACGCTCCGGGGAAAGCGGATACACACGCAGCCACGCTGGTCATGAAACTCCAGCTGTTCATCCAGGAAGTCAACAATGCCATTGAGGGTCAGTTCTTAACAAATGCAAATAGCGACGCAATTAAATGTAATATTGTGTTTAGATTATAGACTGTTTGCATATACATAACAAGTCCCACAATTACAGTTTGTTGTTATAGTGCAGCACAGAATATTTGCCTTGTTTTTCAGAGAGCAGTAACCAGGCGGTGCAGAACATGCCCAGAGTGCTGCGGGACGTGGAGGCTCTGAAGCAGGAGGCGTCCTTCCTCAAAGAGCAGATGGTCCTGGTCAAAGAGGACATCAAGAAGTGTGAGCAAGACACTGCACAGTCTATGCAGGTAACCCACCAACTCTAACAACCTTAGTGCACTGGACTAAAACACTTATGTTGAACCTAAATGTGAATGCTATTTTTATAGGTGTTGGTGGAGATAGACAAAGTAAAGGGGCGCATGCAGCTGGCAGCAGATGCACTACAAGAGGCAGATAAATGGACCACGCTCAGTGCAGACATTGAAGAAACATTTAAAACACAGGTGAAAACGGTTTGTCATCTTCTCTTATGCAGAAAATTGAAAAATTAGAAATGCGTTAACACATAATAAAGGAATATTTATTTTAATTATTCTTCTGTATTTCCAGGACTTTGCACTAATCTCTTCTAAACTGACAAGCATGCAAAACAGCCTGGCCATGTTGGTGGATACCCCAGACTACTCAGAGAAGTGTGTCCACTTGGAGGCTCTCAAAAACAGACTGGAAGCTCTGGCCAGTCCGCAGATAGTGGCAACCTTCAACTCCATGTCTATAGGTGCATTGAGTCTTCACCATTTATGGATTATGAAATTCATAATTACTATAATAACTGTTACAATATTTTACCTGTCTTAGATCAAGCCAAGCTCTTTGTCAAAGTATTTACTGAGATTGACAGAATGCCACAGCTTCTTGCATACTACTACAAATGCCACAAAGTAATTACTACAAACCATATTTTTTTACTGCTCTCCTAATTTATAAAACTTATAGCTTAATTATATATTTTAGGGTCAGTTGGTGAATATGTGGCAGGACATCTCTCAGAGTGAACTCAGTCTAAACCAACAACTGGCTGAGTTCTATGATACATTGCTTTCTACATGGCATTCTCAACTTCAGTGGACCATTCAGGTAACTAATAGTGAATTAAACACCAACCATACATGCATTCACTATAATTCTCTTGTACCTTGCTTACCCATGTTTTTTGTTTTTGTTTTAGGTTTTTAAGAATCCCTATGAGGTGGTGACTGTGTTGCTGATACAGACTCTGGGGGCCATGGTGCCATCCATCCCTGTTTGTCTGAGCTCAGCCATGGAGCGAGCTGCACAAGACCAGCGCCTTGAAACACTATTAGAACTGCATTTCACTACTGCCAACTTTGGACACAGTCTGGAGGCCGCCATGCTGCCACATTTGGGTACAATCAAAACACGAGCAAAACAAAACCTTTCATTATACCTGTGAAAAACATACAAAAACTCTAATTGTGTATTTAATCTACAGGTGACAATAACCCCCTCAAGGTGAATGAGTTGGTCTGTGCCCTCTACGACCCTTACAAACCCTATCAGCTGCAGTACGGAGAGCTAGAGGAAAATCATCTTCTCATTCAGATCAGCACAGTTCCACTGGTATGTTCACCCCCCTATAATAACCAATTCTTTTTTTTTTCTGTTGATCTAATTCTGTAAATTTTTAGGAACATGGCGAGGTTATTGATTGCGTTGAGGAGATGAGCCACTCTGTAGGCAAGCTGTTTGGCCTGTGCAGTGCTGCCGTAGACCGCTGCATCAAACTGACTGATGGACTGGCAGTGTGCGGACTCCTTAAAGCACTCAAAGCTCTTTTTACAAAGTAATGTTGCTGCTATTTACCTATAGCACTTTACTTAATTAAAAGGGCCATTTCTTATACTTGTCCGGGTTCTTTTAGATATGTGTCTGACTTCTCAAGAACGCTACAGTCGATTAGAAAGAAGTGCAGACTTGAGGATGCACCAAGTTCTACTGCTTTTCAGGAAGACTGGACGGCATTTCAAAATTCTGTCAGGTAAGCAGATGTTTTTTGCATGGATCTACTTGGTTTGGACTGTCTTCTACATGTCCACTGTCTCAAGTTTAAATTGTATACAGAATGGCTAGTCAAACAAGCTCCAATATTTATTGTACTCTATAATGTGTATTAATTGTGGTACATTATTGCCTCAACAGGATTATTGCAACTTGTGGAGAGCTGCTAAGACAGTGCGGTGCCTTTGAGCAGCAGCTATCAAACAGGTGAGTAAAAGTTGTACTTCTTCATAGGCATTATGCTATTTCAACATAGAACCATTTATTCCAATATAGTTGCGTAAATCGTGACCATGAATCCATGTGCTAGGATCCTAGGCACTGCTGGTAAATACTTGTCAGAGTCATACAGCCCGCGCAGCCTGACAGGTATCCAGGAGGCCAGCTCCACAGAGAGGAAAAGTACCACCAAAAATCCTTGGCAGGAGTATAACTACCTTCAGAGAGGAAACATGACTGAATATAACAGCCTAATGGAGGTCCTGTACAATTTGAAGGTATTCAGAAATAATCAAATATGTCATGTAACCCAGTAATTACAAAAAGGGGTTTAAGAAGACAATGTTGTCACTTACAAGAATAAGAGAAGTAACATAAAATTTAATTCAACACAATTTTTTATACCATACAAGGATACAATTTATAACATGTTCCTCATATCCTTTTTATTCTATTCTCCTTCTTTCTATTCTTTTTTTTTTTTCTTTTTGTTTTGCAGGAGAAAGGCACAGGTAACTCCAGTCTTTTAGCAGAGCCCAGAGCAGCGCTGACCAGACTGAACCAGCAGGCCAACCAGCTGGCCTTCGACTCGGTCTTCCTGCAGATCAAACACCAGCTCTGCCTCGTCTCAAAGATGGAGGTGAGGATTGAGTTTCACAGTTATCTGAGTTTGAATAGTCACTGACAAAACGGAAGTTCCTGAATACTCAAGGTGTTTAAATTGGTTGAGAGCGTCAAGCGTAAGATCTTATTTCATAACAGACTTCCTTCTTGTTTTTTGTGCAGAGCCAGGATGGGCCTGGGTTAGGCGAAAGCTACACAGAGGATCTGCCAACGTTCAGCCTCTCACCACAAGAATACATAACAAATGTATGCCAGTCTGAATTATTCCATTGTGTCCTTGTTATTTGATTTTAAGGAAAACTAATGAATGCTGAATGAATCTGTCTTGTAAATATTATCATATAAATTGCTGCCTTTGCAAGCTTAGTACAAAAGTTGTGTTTTATAACTTGCAGATTGGACAGTACCTAATGTCATTACCTCTCCACTTGGAGCCATTTGTGACACAAGAGGACCCAGCCCTTGAGATGGCCCTACATGCGGGGAAGTTGCCCTTCCCTCCAGAACAAGGTGACTGTCCATACGCTATTTGTTTGTTTTTCTTGTTTCAGTCATTGACCCTTTATTGGTCTTTCAGGTGATGACTTTGGTGAGCTGGATAACACTGCTGATTACTGGTTAGGATCTATCGCACGGGCCACAATGCAAACTTACTGTGATGCCATTCTGCTCATACCCCAACTCAATGCACATTCCACAAAGCAACTGGCCACAGATATTGGTAACAAATCAATATTTTATATTGCCATTTCAAAATACCAGAATATATTTTTTTTAAATACTGTTATTAAATCCACAGATTATTTGAGTAACGTGATGGACGCTTTGGGACTGCAGCCTTCGCGTACACTGCAGCACATAGTGACTTTGTTGAGGGCCAAACCAGAAGAATACAGACAGACAGCCAAACTGCTGCCCAGACGCCTCAGCTCCACCATCGCAGCTCTCCGAGGAATCGACTACTGACCTACAGACAGGACGTAGTGCAGAAAATGAACTCCATTCTGAAACTATCTGTGATTCCTGAGTGTTTAAGAATGTGGTTAGAAAACTGTTGATGTTTTAATGTCTAATTTGTTATAATGTTTGGATGATAATTGAAGATTGATTGTGCTCTCTGCTTAAAGGGAACATAAGGGCAAAAATAAGATCTATAAAGATGTAGATGCTAATGTTCTGATCTTAATTTATATTTTAATAATAAAGCATGTGCACCTCAAGTAAGACAAGGGAAAGAAGCTTTTCATTTCTATTTTTATGCAGTGTCTTAAAATGTGTATGCAAAATATTGTGTGGGATATAATGGGTCAACTATGTTACTTTTATATATGTTGGGGTCTTAAAATATTTTAATAAACAGAACTGCGTAGCTTTAATAATGTGTAGTTGCCTTTACATTAAGACAAATACGTCGTTCTGACCTGTGTATAATATATAAGCATGCATTAAATAATGAAAACGTGTGTAATACATAATTTAAAAGTATAATTACTACAAATGACAATATCACTTTCAGTTGACCAAACAGTCCGAAACTGGTGTGTGTGCCTGATGCCCTCTAGTGGCCCCTCCCCTCACATCTGAGCCCCAAGGACCAGGACCACAGTTTGCATTTACCACAGAACTGGCACGTCCTGTATGCAACTCACAAACGAGCAGGTTCACTGGGAGATCATGTGACTGAGGTGAAAGGATTTTCAACACCGGAGAAGAATGTTTTGTTGACTGTTGTATAAATGAGCCAATCAGATCAGTTATTTATGGAGGGACGCACAGACCACTTTATCTGCAATTCAGAGTAGATCCTCAAACCCATTGTGGCCCCATGATGGTGCTGTGGGTCCTAAGTTCTTCCCGGTCTAAAGCGGAACCTGGCATGATGTGGGAAAGTATCCAGACTGGGACTTAGGGTGTCTGGGCCATTCAAAGAAAAACACTGCCAATTAGACTATATCAAAATTAATTTTCTAATGTGGGCCCATTGTATTGATCTTTTTTTTTCTTACTAACTGAAAATAAATGGACAAAATCTAATTTCTAGCCTGTTGCCTTTTCTAGATTTCTCGTTTGTTCCATGTTTGCATCTCATTGCAAAATACAAAAAAGGCGTTCAAAATAAACTGAGAGATGCTTTAACTGATTTACTGTGATTATGGTTTAATATTATGCATGGGTCATGTTTGTGTCTCAATATGGACCAAGCGTGAGTGACCAAGCGTCGGTCACGTGAGCGCGTGTGTACCTGCGCGCTCTCTTCCAATATGGACCGTGTTTGGTACTGACGTCAGCCGTTACCGCCCTGTGGCTGCTGCTGCCTGGCTGCAGTATGTGCTGGAGGAGACCGTACGGTGTGATGGAGACTGGAACCGCGGCCTTCAGTGCCCCAAAGCTCAGCGCTTCTCCAAAGCCGTGAGACGCACGAGCCCGAGCCGCTGTCCGGGTAACTTTGCAGATGAGGACATCTTGTTCGCCATGAAGAGAGGTAGGAGGAAAGATGCTCATTGTGAGGCCGTGGCGAGGGAGCGGCGGCGGGCTGTGGTGCTCCGCTCGGGGGGTTCCACACGTTGGCATGGACCCCCTGCGTAAAAACATAAGGAAGATCTGGTGCATCCATTCTTAGGCTATAACCCCAACATCAGCTCACATCTAATGTAAAGGCGTCAGTCCAATGTAGAGGGTGGAGCTGCGGTTTCTTTAATAAATGATGAGGAATCCCGCCTGTCACTCTCTAATGGCTAATTGTGAGCGCTCAGTTTGATGTTTTTGCCGCCGTTGGGCCGCCTCCCCTCATCTCCGCTTTTAAAACCAGTGATGTTCTTGCAGACTCGGTGCGAAGGGGAGGATGGCTGCTGCCCCGTGTTTTCACGGCGCTCTCATCGGTCCCTCTCCTCCCCGTAGAGGCGTCTGTTTATGCAATCCGACGCAGCGTTGCACTTCATGGCTGAACCCCGTTTGTGGGGATCCTTTGTGTAACAGACAAATATGTCCGCGCCTTGTGTCAAACTAAAAAAGTGACATTGATTTTAAGGGCACCTGACTTGTGACTCTGCCTCACCATGTCGAAAGTAGTGAGTAACAAAGAGAAGAAGTCCTTCAGTAAGAAGCTCTTCCGGAGGAGCTCGGTGCGCTCCGTGGGCAGCTTTATGAACAGAGTGCTCCGGACTCTGTCCACTCTGTCCCACTTCAGCACCGATGAGCAGAGCGAGCAGGACGACAAGGACAAGGAGTCTGCGCTCATCCCCGCCACCACCGGAGGCTCGGCCGCGTCCGATGACAGCGACTGTGGCGGCTTCCCCTTCTTTGGGGACAAAGTACCAGGAGTAGCGGGCCTCAAGAACCACGGGAACACCTGCTTCATGAACGCCATCCTCCAGTGTCTGAGTAACACTGAGCTGTTCGCCGAGTACCTGGCTCTGGAGCAGTTCAGCGGCAGTGAGACCGCGAGCAGCAGTGACAAGCCCAAGGCCAACGGGGTGGTCCTGGTGCAGAAGAGGGGCAGCCCGCCTCAGCCAGATTCAGGGGAGGTCACCAAACAGCTGTCCGGCCTGGTCCGCGCGCTCTGGACCTCTGAGTACACGCCCCAACACAGCAGGGACTTCAAGGTAGGATGTATGCTCAGGTGTGTTCCACCATCTTTGTGCACATTTTTCATTGAACAATTGAACTTGCTCCTGAAAAACAAATAACATAAACCATGGCCCACATGTAGCCCACAACACAGACTCTTCACTTTTTGACATGAGACACAGTTGGCCTATACTATGTCTTCAACTTACAACAGTAATAACCCCATATAGCAGAAGAATGTGCAGATTCCCTTCTCATTGCTTAAGAACTCATGTCTAAATAAGATAGGAGCCTGCTTCCACGTTATTCTTATGTCCATTTTGTGTCCCACTATTCCTCCTCCTTTATGCCATCTGTTTGTGAAAAGCTGGTCATGGCCACAAGCATTCAGTGTTGAAGTTAAAAATACTTGTAGGCTGCACTTCACACCTCTTAAGTCCCAAACTAAGTGTGGACATTTGCTTGTGCCTTGGGCTGTGTTCTCTAGTTTAACCACTGTCCATTGTGTCCACTGTGACCACGGGGAAAACTATTTTCTCCGTCTGCTAATCTCTTGACTGATATGTTTTCATTCAGTCCTTCATGACCAATAGACAGGAACTCAACTGAAAGCTAAACAAAACATTTTGTATTTTTGGACTTTGTGCTGCTATTTTTGTGCATTTATTTCTGTCTCCGCTGGCTGCCTCACAACAAAGTGACTGATTGATAATAGATTACTTTATTCTGGAAAGGGGCCTTGAACATTGTAAAATTACAGACAAAATTATGCACAAAACCTGCTATTTGATAACACATGATAAACCTTGTAATAGGAGATTTGGCTTTATGTGGTGCTAAATTGAGCTGTTGTCCTCAGCAAATGTAGGACTAGATTATTATTATTCAAATGATTATGCAAATGTGAACACTCAACCTCAAAATGAGTCTAAACTGAAAATAACATTCAGAATAGTCTTTGCACCATTGTGCACTCTGTATGGGACCTCTGTAAAACACAGTTTATATAATGCACAAGGTTAGTCATAAAGAAGAAACTAAAACAGTGCCCAATTTGTTTTCATATTTACAATACTGACAAAAACTGACTTTGATGTTTTTGTGTTTTTGCAGATAACAAAAATCATGTTTTACAGTTAGATATGCAAAATTTGAAAATCTAGCATATATTTTATCTCATATAAAAATGCAAATAGAGCTGATTAAAAAGAAAAATGGATGTTGTAAACTTCCAAATAAGGTTTATACAGTGATAATTCTGCTCTTTACTTTTAATTAATGTTATTTCTTTTGGATTGGATCATATTATCTAAATCTTAATACTGAGGTATACATTTTTGCCAATATCCCTCAGGCCTAATAACTAACTATTCATAAGAAATGTAGTAAAATGTGCTTGTTGTCTTATTATGTGTATAGTGAATAGGCTAATTAAAATCCATACCTTTTTTCTATGCATTTTGAGTATATTCATCTCCAGTGTCTCCTTCTGTCTTCTGTCAGCTTTGCCCCTGTTACCAATACTAATGTGTTCCTTACTGTCACCCCCCCTTCCCTGGTTAAGTCCAAATTGCTGAGGTGATCTTTTCTAATGCTTTGAAAATGAGCAGGACAGTCCCAGGAGAGCGGTGGGGACAGAGCACTGAGCTGTGTCCCCTCTTGTCTCTGACCTTGTGGGACATTTGACATGGCTCTTCTGTCATATGGTCAAATGTGTGAGGGATAGATGTGTAATTGTCACTTGAGAGTGAGATGTCCATTTAAAAAGCCAAGTCAGCATGTTTTTGAACTTTGACCCCATGCTAACCACTGTGGTCAAAGCTTGTGAATATTTAATGAGAGGGAGGAGCTGACAAAACGCTGGAGAGTGCAATAATAGTAGGGATGTCAGTTTTGACTCATTTTGCAATTAACTGTGACTATAGATGTCACAGGATAATAATATGAATTTCAGATTCAGCAATAACTCATTTGAATGTAACAAATGAAAATATTCCATTTCTATGTTTTACATGGTACAACAGATGTAACTTTAATTTTTGTTTAATTGAGATGCACTATGTAACTTTTCCGGTGGTCATCTGCTTCTGTCACTTTTTCATTAATGTTCCCAGGTATGGCATTTATGTTTCTAGATTGTATTTATTCAATTACAGGTGTTTTTATTCATGAAAAATACCTTGGAAACTGAGTGTGCTTAACTCTCAACAAATCTGACCTGTAATGTGATTGTCTCTATGGATATAGATTGATTATCTGATCTACGTTATAATGCTGTTTCCTTATCAAAATATTCCTGGAGTTGTGTTTTGTTTCATTCACAAGTTTAACACATAAACCCTGAATATTTATGCTGTGTTCTTCTCTCAAAATGAAAACACTCTATATCTTGTGATGTCGTGGCAATACAGGAAGTGCTCCACTCCATACACCTTCACTAAAATCATTTGGCTAATTTCAGTCTCTACTAAATTAAAGGTATAAGGTAGCTGTTACCATGAAAACTACAGCTTTTACAAGATGGAAGCATTTTGAGCTTTGGACATGTAGACAGACTAATAATAAAAGACTACTCAAACAGGTAGCAACATTCTAATATGACTTAAAGCTCACAAGAGTCAATTTTATTGTAATATGGGGCTTTTAATGCCGTACTGTAGAACATTCTTGGCAAAGCAGTAACATCTACATGGAGACAGGCAAGTAGTGGACCTTCAACCAGAAATGTGGCATAGTGCACCTTTGAGGTTGTGGCATAATGACAATATTTGTGCAGTTATATTTTGTTTCTTGTCACAATAAAAGTAGCAGTAATATTTGTCATAATTTGTGGTAAAATGTGTTGTGGCTTCACTGGTTTTTATTTGTTTTTGTAGAACGTGGTGTCAAAGAGCGCGCTCCAGTTCAGAGGGAACTCTCAGCACGATGCTCAGGAGTTCCTGCTCTGGCTCCTGGACCGTGTGCATGAAGACCTCAACAACATCGTGCACCCTGACAGCAGGCCACCCATCAAGGTACACTCTATTATACAATGAAGCTGATAATTCAACCAATAATACAGGACTGAACACTCAGCCAACTAATAATCACCTCTCAAGGTTTTTTTCTCTCTCTTCACCCTTCAGTCTCTCCATCTTCTTTTCTTCACCACTGTCATTATTTTCTCTCATAAACATAAACATAATATTGCCATTAATTGTACTGTGTGTTGTTTGTGTGTGTAGCCACCAGTAGAGGAAGAAAGTGCTCCAGAAGGCTCTCCACTACCAGCACCTGGATCTTTTGTACAGGAACTGTTTCAGGCACAATACAGGTGAGAACTAGACTGTGTTTAGGAACGAAGGAAGCTTTGAATAAGCCAGTACAACAATTTAATATGTAACTAGGGCTGCATGATTTAAAACATGTGTTGAAAAGTAGGATTCTGTTCAGTGAGCACAATTTAGAGACTGATAAACTAATGCAAATATCCAGTGAATTTCAGAGCATGATTGTAGAGGTCGAAACCACAGGTACAACCATAAAGAACTGGACTAAGCTAGTTTGATGTCACCCACAGCGTTCAGCTCCACTCAAATGAAGCTCGCCATGCTCTCTGTTACAGGAGCGAATTTGGAGCTAGGTTCGATATTATGAATAGGATTTTTTAAACAGACGAAATAGCAAAACAAAAACACCAGGATCATGTAGAGCAGGTTTACTTCCTGTTTGGAACGTGGCGGCTAGCGCATAAGCTATGTCCATTTATACATACAGTCTACAAGTACAACAATTTCATTTAAGTTTTCGATTTTTTTTCTATAAAAATAAAACATTCTTTGTATCTAAATAATTGCAGCTTTCCAGTTTTAAAGCAATAACTTACACAGTTCTACATATAAAACTAACTCAGTCTAACTTGCTCTTAATAAAGTCTGGAAAAAGTCTGCAGAAGTAATTTTTATTTCCCTGGCAGTTTATAAATGTTTAAAAAAAAATACAATAACTGCATAAAAAAAAAAATAATAATAATAATAATAAAAACTTTTAGACTACTAATAATTGTGACACAGAACATTGTCACCAAAGGGACATAGTATTGTACAAGGTTGATAGAAAGGATTGAATAGCAACAATAATAGTCTAAATGTAATCATATTATAAACACTGCCAAGTGAATACATGTCTGATCCTTACACTTTGAATTTATAGACAGGACCAATATTAATAAAAGGATTCTGTAAAATAAAAACATGTGAATGTCCATTTATGTGAGAAACAGCCTATCACCTAAAAATAACTCTAAAAGCAAAAATAGATGCCACATTTTCTATATTCTACACTTCACGGTTGTATGAGACTTGTGCTTCTGTTCATTATTCACCTGTCATTTCATCTGCGCAGGTCGTCTCTGACTTGCCCTCACTGCCAGAAACAGAGCAACACCTTTGATCCTTTCCTCTGCATCTCACTGCCAATCCCAGTACCTCACACACGGTAAGCACCCACCTTCTCCTCGCACTTTTCAGTCAACAACAACAAAACATAATCAATATTTTCACAGCCCAAGTCAACATTAAGAAACATGTCAACTTTTCACAAACAAACCCGGCCACATTTGACAGGAGTGGCTAAAATTAGAAATGTTTGAAACTTCAGCCTCAAAAACAGCCAATTAATGTGATTTCTTGTGACACCGCAGGCCCCTTTATGTGACAGTGGTGTACCAGGGAAAGTGTTCCAACTGCATGAGAGTCGGGGTGGCCGTTCCTCTGTCCGGCACTGTGGCCAGGCTCAGGCAGGCGGTGGCTCAAGAAACCAAAATCCCAGCTCAACAGGTGAGAGCTTGTCCATCTTGTTTACTATTATTTATAATTTGCTTATGTTGTTTATACTGACAGAGCAATCATTGAACTTTGTGTTATTTATTGTTACAGTTATTGTTATGTGGACAGCCTCAGTAGTTAGGTGATGCACTAAAACGTATAAATATTGGCCCAATATATGGTCCAACAGATTTATTGGTCTGTCTCTAATATTAACCATTAATCAGAACAAAACATTTGCAATATGTCAGTCAAACAGCAATTTCCAACATTTCAGAATGTCATGTGAAAACAACTTATACATTTCAAGTTCCTAATTTATATGTGACATTTTAAGAGCATATAACCATTTGAAAGATCAAAATAATTTAGTTTTGAATGTTCATTTCTATGCCAACACTGCTAATTTTTTACTCTGACACCCATAGATAGCCACAAAACTAATGAAATGGAATAACACTAGATGTGAGCCTGGTTTAAATGATACCCAAGCACTGACATTTTATGAATCACAGAGATTAGATATTAGATATGTCTTTAATGTGCCACAGTGTAATATTTGTGTCTCTAATTTTACAGTTTCCTGCATCAGTGTAAAAAACATTGTGTAAATGGTCTTAATTCTCACAGTAGTTCCCATTTACTGTAATAGAATCTTTGAAAGCATAACCCTCTTCACTTACCAGGACCAGATGCATTGTAATAGTGTGTGTGTGTTGTAGATCGTCCTGACTGAAATGTACTATGACGGCTTCCACCGCTCCTTCTGTGACGACGACGATGACCTGGAGATCATTCAGGAGAGCGACTCCATCTTTGCCTTCGAGACCCCAGAGCTCTTCAGACCAGACCAGATCCGCTCCAAGAGAGGCGGTACAGCATCCTGTTTCTGCCCCTCAAATCAGCCCATTTAAAGCCCATTACACCATTAGCAGCCTTTATTCAATCACAAATGCACTGACAATTGCTAATGCTTATTCATGCTCTATAATGAGAAAAAAAATCCTTATTTGTTTTGTTTTGTGTGATAAACAGGGAGTCCACATGCGAATCTCAATCAGAACAACCTAAAGTACGGTACAGATAATAACCGGATCTCCACGCAGATTCAAGAACCTCCCCCCAGCCCCCCACCCAGCCCCAACAAGAACAGTGGGCAGGCTGAAAAGATCGTGCTCCTAGTCTGCAACAGAGCTTGTGCTGGGCAGCAGGGACGCAGGTCTGTACCCTCTTCGATATATGGCTTTACTGTACATGATAGAGCAAAGTTCAAAGGTCACTTGGGTCTCCTCCAGGTTTGGAAATCCATTTATTCTGTACTTGGAGCGAACAGTGACATGGGACACCCTTCAGAAAGAGATCCTAGAAAAGATGAGGCATCTCATGAGGCCCGGAGTTATTGTTCAGGTAATACTCTTTCAGATGTCTCTTATAAAACCAGTATTTATAAATGACAAATTGTAGCATTTATAACATTGTATTTGTCTCTCAGGTTGGGCCCTTCACTTTACGTGTGGTGGGGGTGGTTGGAATTACATATCTCTTGCCTCAGGAAGAGCAACCACTCATCCATCCTTCAGTGGAGAGGTAATGTCTCACCACCAGGGGGCAGTGATTACACAGAAGAAAAGAATGTTCAATGCCCCCAAGTCTAGTGGTGGTCTGTTACTGTTTCTAAATACTTCAATAACATGATGTTTTGGTTATTGATTTCTAGGGCATTCAAGTCTTGTGGCCCAGGGGGACCGCCTCACGTCAAAATAGTTGTTGAGTGGGACAAAGAGACAAAAGACTAGTGAGTGACTGATTTAAAGGATTATTTTTAAAATCTATCATTTGTTTTCTCTCTGTTATGTTGAACTGTTTGTGTAGTCTGTTTAAGAGAACAGAGGACGAGTACATCCCAGATGCTGAAAGTGTGCGACAGGTGAAGGAGCAACACCTGCAGCCTCAGACGTGCTCCCTGGCTCAGTGCTTTCAGCTCTACACCAAAGAGGAGCAGGTGGAGTGTGTATTATTATCAGCATTAGCGCTGTGATCATTTGTCATATTTACACATGTGAGTGTTGTTTTAGCTGGCCCCAGACGACGCATGGCGCTGCCCTCACTGTAAGCAGCTGCAGCAGGGCAGTATCAAGCTGAGCCTCTGGACTCTCCCGGACATCCTCATCCTCCACCTGAAGCGCTTCAGACAGGACCAGGACCGCCGCGTCAAGATGCAGAACATGGTCAAGTTCCCCCTCACCGGCATGGACATGGCGCCCCATATGGTCAAGCGGAGCCAGAGCAGCTGGAGCCTGCCATCCCACTGGTCACCATGGAGACGACCTTATGGCATGGGCCGTGACCCAGAGGACTACTTGTACGATCTGTACGCTGTGTGTAACCACCACGGCACCATGCAGGGGGGGCATTACACAGGTGAGAGCAGGACACACACATGCACAGAATATGTACATAACACAGAGTAATACAGAGTGTGTGTTCAACAGCTCACTGTAAGAACTCCATTGATGGGCAGTGGTACTGCTTTGACGACAGCGATGTCCATCCTATATCAGAAGAGGAAGTGTGCAAACAGACTGCCTACATCTTGTTTTATCAAAGGAGGGCCACTATTCCATCTTGGTCAGCCAACAGTTCTGTGGGAGGTAATCATACACGTTTACATTCAGAAATCCATTACAGGTCATTTTAATTGTAGATATTAACTTGTAACTATATGAACTCTTGATGAAGGGTCGACCAGTTCTTCACTGTGTGAGCACTGGATCAGTCGGCTGATGGGGAGTCGTCCTCCGAGTCAGGCCTCCTCTGGCTCTTCCAGACGCACCTCTCTGGCCTCTCTGTCCGAGTCTGCTGAGTTTGCGGGTGAAAGGAGTGAAGACGATGGTGAGAAATATGTTTTTTCTTTAAATTTATTCATATCTCATAGGATTCAGGATTATTAGGTGAATTGTCCATAGTGATTCATTAGGAAAGTTACTGGCTGTCTGCTGAGTGTTGTCATGAATATGCTTGATATTTGATATAGATTGTGATACCACAATGATAATTCTAAAAAAAACTTTAAAACATTTTTTTCTTAATTTTTTTTTTTTTTTAAAGAGTTCTGATAAAGCTCATGGTCATTCCAAAATTGTTAATGAAGGTACTTCCTTGAAATGAAAATCTAGTTTCTATACTAGTTTTCATCTGATACTAGACTGCATTTGTATTTAACTTTTTTGGACTCTGAAATTATGTATCTTAAACTAAGTTTGTGATTCAAGTTTGTAACATAACCTTCTTGTATATAGGACTATCCAGTCGTCCAGCTGTCAGAGGAATGCAGCGGCAGAGTTTCTCATCTCGCTCTTCCATCGCGAGCCCTTTAGCGCTCAGTGAAAATGGCACCAAACCCTCGTGGTCCCACTCAGCTAAGCTCCAGCTCCGCTCTAACTCACCCTCACGGTTCTCCCTGGAATCCCACTCCTCCTCCCCCACCCTGGAGAGGATTGGAGAAGTGGCGGACAACATCACCTGCTTCAGCGGATCTCCCAAACTGGAGCGTCTGTCCTGCCATCACGGAGCCAGGAGACTTATAGACCAGGTCCACTCCAGAGCTGTGGCACAGGCAGAGCAGAGGACCTCAACACAGACTGCAGATAACAACAATGCGGTGAGTCCAGCAGAGTCCACCAGCCCACGCCACACACCAATAGTGAAGGAACCAAAACAGAGGACTACAACTCAGGATGTGGCAAAGAAAAGCTCTGCTAAACCTGGGCTGGACAGTGAACGAAGTCCAAAAAGACGCGCGGCTACCTCCTCAACATCCTCCAGCTCTCTGTCGCCCGCATCGCCCGCCGTCGACAAATCACCATCCCGAATGCAGAAGAGTGCCGTGTCTCCTTCTAACCCGAAAGACAAGAGCGATGTTTTGCCCAAAGCGGCTAAGACCAGTTCCTCAAGGACCGCAACTCCATCTAAAAGAGGGTCTCCGCAGTCACAGGATTCACTACACCCCGATTCCCAACAGCGGAAAAGCGGTTCTCCGGGATCTTCAAGTTCTCATGGTCAGCGTAGGCCTTCACCCAGAGCTGGAGCAGAGAGAAGCTCGTCATCTGCAAGGACTAAAGCAGCGGACAGGAGCGCTAGCCGGGAATCTCCTCGGACATCTACTGCTTCTGAGAGGAAAGTGAGCCATGCTGGGCCACCAACCAGGGCTGGAGCTGCAAGTAAGGCAGAAGGCAGACCAACCAGGCCCACCGTGGAGCACCGGGGAGTGGGTAGAAGCTCCAGCAGTAGTTCCTCCATGACCAGTTTAAGATCGTCAAGTGTGGGGGTGTCAACTACTAGCGCAGCACCACCAGCCCGGGCGCGCAGGAACAGTAAGACAGAGGATAAGGGTCTGTCCTTTTTCAAATCCGCTCTGAGGCCGAAAGACACACGCACAGGGAAAGCAGAGACCAAAGGAAGTCAAGAGGATGGAGTCGGGGATGGGAAAGATGTTCAAGGAGCTAATAAAAAACCTTCTGAAGTTTCACCCAATCAGGCCAAAGACAAGGAAACGGCGAAGACCTCCACAGCAGCTAAACCGCCATCGCTACCGCCCACAAAGTCCAAAACCTCTGGGACTGAGTCCACCACGACGGCCTCCGCTAATGCTAAAGACAACAAAAAGGAGCCAAGCAAAAAACCAATGCAGACCAGGAAGATTCCCATTAACTCCACACAGAATAGCCAGAGGTCCAAATAATGTCATGTGGGTGGTCTCTTGGGCAGCTCTAGTGTTTCTATGAGACCTTGTGAAACATCTGTAGCTCCTTGTTGGTTACTGAACACCAGCTGCCATGTTGAACCAGACACTTACACAACAGTTCTACAGGAATGGATTTTAACAAAGCACTTTGTATGGGTTGCATTGATATATTGAGGAATATAAATGATACTAATGTATTGTACATAAGCATGGACTGCACATGTATTGAAATGATTGCCTTGTTCTGTCTGTAGCATAGCTGGACAAAGCCACCTCAGCAGGTGGTGAGTTTAAGTGACTTTGCACAAGATGGAAAGAAGGACTACTGAGTTACCAAATGAAGTTTACTGGCAATTCTTAACATGCTGATGCAGAGAAATTATCCAAAAATCTCCTTATATACCGCTCTCTGTCAGGTTTCAGAGCGTTATATCAACAACGTCAGTGCCTCAGATAATCATAGTATTTAATCTGAATTGTATAACTGCAGGTTATAAATTTATATTAAATTTTAATATTTATTAAGCACTAAAAATGTAATTTCAAGTAAACCATGATTAAGCCTATTTAACCCAAACTGCTGTTTACATATGCTCCTTGATGTAGTCATTGTGCAAGAGCCTTTAAAGTATTTTTAATCAGCCAAATGATAAAGGAGACAGGAGAGAGAAGTGCAGGATTGGACCATGTCTTTGGTGTATACGTGTATATGGAGCGCTCCTAAGTGTCTGTTTTCTTACTGATCAGTTAGCCTCATAGACACCACAGCCCCTGCTCTGCTCATGCCACACGGGACATGGGAGATGGATCTCCTGACTGCCACACCTCTCCCATCCCTCTCAGATGAACAGGGTTATGTACAGAAACAACACTCACCATGCACTCACCTTCTGTTGGGACCTTTACGCCAAACACACGGCTTGTACAAAGAGTGGACGCAATGACAGCTTGGTTTAGTCTTTTACAGAATCATATCCATTACAGCATTGCAGAATGGATATAACAGAGGATACATTTAAGTTGTTTAGGTAATCTAATGTGAATTAAATTTATATTTTAATTCTATTTTAGCTAAAAAAATACAATAAAAGCTACATTTTGATAATGTAGTGTTTTTTTATCCTCATTGTACATGTAGATTTAAAAGCCCAGCCATGGCTGATGCTGTCAGTGTGTCCACGTCCACTACACGCCTGCAGTGTTGAGACACCATACATGTGGGACATTATGGTGTGGCCCCGCCCATCCTCTGTCTGCACATGTGACCTGAGCGGTGCACATGTTGAGCTTGCAGTAGTACAACAACACAGCAGTGACTGTACTCAGAAGAGACATCCTCATTCATAAAATATATTGTTGCATGACAGACGGCTTATGCATGCACTGAACTATGCAAGCAGCCCCTTGCTAATGGCCACAGTGAGTATGTAGACGTGTGTATATATTTCTATGTGTATATTTTTACAAATGCCAGCATCAGAGAGCATGTGATGGCATCTTTTGTTCAGAAGCTTTGTTTGCACATTTCCTCAAAGTAATATACATTTTGTATGAATGATACGTACTGCTCATTCACATTCTCAAAGTAAATCAACTCACAAATGAATGTTTGCTCCATTGTATTTCTTTGTGTGTAACTGTTCATCTAATCCCAAACCTCTGTGTGTTTTCTATGGATCTGGCAGAAGTGAGCCACAGTTTACAGCTCGACACTTTTAATAATAATTTGAGGGTCAATTGTTAATTGGTGTGGTTCCTATCATGTTTTCTACGTGTCTCTTTCTATATTTAGGTTAGACACAAGAGTCAGATCAAATATCACTGTGATTTAAAAAAAAAAAAAAAAAAAAGACAAAAATGAACTATTTCCTGGAGTTACTACAGAACTGTGCAAATGTTTGGGGAGAAGTAAGAATATTCAGATAAATACAGAACTATGTTTTGTCTTTTAAAACGTTTTGAACATTTGCCACTAAACTAGAGGATCCTCTGAATGAAAAGCCTTGTTCTGAGGATGATCATCACTATTACTGGATTAGCGACTTGACACAGGTCTCTGTCTGGATTTTGTAAAATATTTTGTATTTTATACGAGTTTGTATGTATTTTTGTCCAAACCTGTCTGAGACCTTTGCACAGTACTGTAACAGGGGAATGTTGCTACAGCAGTTAGGCCTACATTACTGAATGAACACTGGGACAGCAGATAACTGATGTTAGAATAACATTACAGAATGTCTTAATACGACTTTTATTTTCAAAAATGCACGACAATAGTTTTTGTTATGTTGTGTGAGATAGTGATTTTACAGTTTACAGATTCCTGTTTCGTAAGAAAGATGTGTCGGAATGCCAGAAGAAGATGTTATTAAATCCCTTTTTAAAAAGTGACCTTCTGGATGCCTTACTTTTGTTGGCCACGCGGTGGAGCCGGTGCTCGCGTACAGCTCTGTGTGGTTACAAAATAATGAGTTGGACAAATAAGGGCACCTCAGACGCACCGTGTGTCCCTGTGAAACGTCCTTCACGCTTATGAAGACGTATCGTGGCGTCAGGCTCAATGCTGTCACTAAGAGAGATGATGTGTTATTAAACTACAGCGCCATCATTTATTTAGAGCTGATTCAATTGGGCCTTTATTAGTTTGGCCCAAGGCTGCCCATATTAGGACTTAATGCGGCCTCTTTGTCTTTCTTTTCTTGTAATTTTGTATAGCAGTTGAGGATTACGCTCTCTCGCTTCTCACCTTTCGCAGCCACAGAGGTGATGAAATAAAAAAAAAAAAAAAAAAAAAAAAAAAGCTTTACGCACGCTTTCTGCACGCATGTAGGTCTGTGCGCAGCGGTGGAATGAAGCCCGCGTTGTTGTTGGATTCATGTGCAATTATCAGTGTAATTAGAACACGCGCAGGATTAGTGTGTAAGAGCCAGGCCAGTCTCGTGTGCAGATCAATATTCATTTGCCAATTGTATCACCTCCAAGAGAACATCATTAGCAGAGCTCAAGCAGAATACAGCTCCTTTTATCTGGGTTTAACTCCCGAAGTCCGTCACGTTTTAGTGCCCAGCGCGCCGCAGCTCGCTAACCCGACTCCCAGGACATGTTTGCCTTCTGCACATTAATTTGCTTCATGCATCATAGAGAAGCAATTTAATAGTATTGATCAGTGCAGCCGCGGTTTCTCCCCGAGCTGGTTCAGCCTTAATGTCGGTCTCTGCTCCCTGCGTAAAAGAACACGCACGTTTCATTGTATGGTTTGTGGCTGATTGAATTTGAAGAATGGAGTTTGTAACTGTAGACAGGCCTTTCACCGCTGCATTATTGTTGTAGCAGGTACGACAAGTTCAGTGGCCAGTCAAAGTGTTTGGATGGACAAAACATGATCTTTCTTTACTTTGATGCAGAAAATAGTGGTGGAAGAAGTAAAAAAGTAAAAGTACAGATACCAGATCACAAAAATACTCAAAAGTATCACATGAAAAAATCTAATCAAATAGAAAATATTAAAGAAAATGTACTTAAAGAGTAACAAATAAAAGCATTTTGGGGTCTAATGAAGCTTGAAACGTAGTGGTTTTGATGAAGATTTGTGCTGAATTTTGTTCAACAGAAACATTTGGATCAATTATTTTATGTAACTGCTTTTATTTATATGTTGATATATTTTTGTGTCTCAGATTATGAATGTGTTGAAAATGACCCCCAAGCCTTTTCACCAGGTCTCGAACAATCATAAAAAAATACTTTTCAGACCTGCTCTAAAATGTAGTGAAATAAAAGTAAAAAGTATCCACTTTAAAATGTATTTCAGTAAAATACAGATCTCTAAAACTACTACTGTACTTTGCTACTTTTACTTAGTTGCATTCCACCACTGGAAAATAGTCATGTACCTTTACTGTTGCGGCATCTGGCTGAAAAAGAAAAGAAAAAAAAATCCTTTCCTTTGGGCTTGAGGTTGTACAATTGGGACAATGTCCCATTACTCATATTCATATACTGACATTTCCAGTGGCAATGTATATATTACCATACAATAAACATACAACAAAACCAGAAAAACTAAAGGAGCCATAGCCATGTACAAGCCTGTATATCAACTTGCTTGATATAACTTCTTTCCTGCATCAAGTAAAAAAAAAAATTAATAAATAAAAACTCAAAAAACACTACACATTTAATTGCTGATATCTTTTATTAACACTGTTTAAGTTATTCCAGTTAAAATAGCTGTTCAAAATGGATTTCATCTCAAAATGACACCAGCCAAAGGTGAGACTGACATGCTTTAGTTAAGTAATTAACCCATATAGGGTATTTTGAGGTGATATATAATGTTGTTACTGCCTCAAAAACTTACCTGAAGTTGTGTTTTGTTTCATTCACACATGTTAAAGTAATCTTTTATTATTAGCTCAAAATGCTTTCCACTTTGCAGTGTCATGAAGTGTTTTACCTTTAGTTCAGTAGAGATGGGCATTTCTAGGGCTGAAATCATCCAAATGATTCTAGTGAAGATATATGAAATTTAAAAACACAGTGGAACACTTCCTGTATTACCACATGACATCGCAAGGTGGAACAGAGTGTTTTCAGTTTGAGACAAGAACTCAACCTGAATATGCAGGGTTTGTGTGTTAAACATGTGTGAATAAAACAAAACACAACTCTGGGTAAGTTTGTGATAAGGAAACAACATTATAAGGTATACTAGTAGATCAGTTTCCTCCGCAGGGTGGCTGGGCGCTCCCTTAGAGATAGGGTGAGGAGCTCAGTAACATGGGAAGAGCTTGGAGTAGAGCCGCTGCTCCTCCTCGTCGTGAGAAGCCAGCTGAGGTGGCTCGGTCATCTGTTCTGGATGCCTCCTGGACGCCTCCCTGGAGAGGTGTTCCGGGAAGTCCCACCAGGAGGAGGTCCCGGCGAAGACCTAGGACACGTTGGAGTGTCTCTCAGCTGCTTGGGAACACCTCAGGATCCCCCCGGAAGAGCTGGAGGAAGTGTGTGTGGAGAGAGAAGTCTGGGAGACCCTGTTCAGACTGCTGCCCCTGTGACCTGGCCCCGGATAAGTAGAAGAAAATGGATGGATGGATAGTAGGTCAGAAAACAGCGTAAAATGGACCCTTCTTAAGAAAATGTTTTTATAACACATCCATAGGCATCCAAGTCAAACAATATACAGTAAGACTATAACTTTTCATGGCTGTTTCAGAGCTGTGAAGAATGTGTGAATATGAATATGTGTGATCTATACTCTATTTTAGTAGTGTAAGTGAAAATGACAAATCTGTAGTTCAATATCAACTCATCTAAAAGTACAATACAGGTACAGTCCCATACAGACTCATAATTTGCAGTTTGTAAAAGAATATTTTTACATGAGTTATATATTTCCTGTGCTCACATCTTACATGAAACTCAGGGTCATGTGTACACTGCTCGTAGCTTCATGAGTAGTACTGTATTTAGCTGCAGAGACTGACATTGCAGAGAAAAAAACTGTCTTTCAGATCATCCACAACTGAATACAAATCAGATGCAGTTATTTATAGATCTGAACCACACCACAGTCTATTTATTGCAAAAGTGAAAAGTGTTTTAGGTAATTTTATCGTGCCTGGCTTCTCTGAAACATTCGAAACATTCAAGATTTAAAAGCAGTTTCAAATAAAATAAATAACCTTTGTTTCCCAAGATTTACAATATAGCAGCATGATTTGAAAATGTTCACATGTCTCAAAAAGTATATTTGGTTTTCCTCAATAAAGGAATACTCTGTAACTTTTCTGGAAGAATACCCAACCCTCTTGTCTCCAGGGTGATGTTATTGCTTTGCCTAGGATGTGCTACAGTATGGCATTAAACTTCTATCTGCACGTGAGACAAACAGGTGGTGAACTCACAGGTCAAGTTACAGGTCATATCTGCGGAAAGGCGACCACACTCATGGCAAGAGTGCATTTTTTCCCCCCAAGGTTTTTATTTTATTTTATTTTATTTTATTT